GAATTTGATCAAATTTTTTGCCCACCCACAACTTACAAAATGTTGCAAGTTTCGAAAGTTAACGAAAAATATACCAAATGTGTCTTCATTGCTTGAACTGAGCAGAGAGTGCGTTCGCGAAAACCTGATCAAACACTACGGTATTAAAAACAACATGCAGTTTCACACTCTACTCAATCACTTACCTGTGTATGATGACTTAAAGGCAATACTACGATACGAAAAACCCATATATAATTATTAAGTAGGTACCTAATGTTACAGAATTTATATTTTTAATACGGAAGTGCTAAAAATGTGAAATTGTGTATTCGTTTTCTTAATAAAACATTACGACACACCTTAACTTCACTTTTTTCCGCATACAGCCAAATCCACATGCACCCTCAAGTTCTTCACTTTCGCCTAATAATCACAATACGAGCTATCAAACCACTCCTTCTCGTCACAATGATGCGCCAACTTGTGGCTCTCCAAATGCGTGCGCCGCTTCGTCTTATATCCTTATATTTTCAAATAATACTTCACGAGACTCTTAAAACATGTTTAAAATGGTAAATTTATTGTTGTAGAGAAATATCGATTTCGCAATTGAGCTCCGCCCCTCGGTCTGACACCGAATGAAAAAAAATTCGTCACAATTAAGATCGGGCGGGCGGGCGGGGCTTATATTTTGCATTTTTTTTTCTTTAATATAAGTAGTCTTCTTTTCACAATAAGAAATTTAAAAAATATTTAAAATGGTAAACTCTTATAATCAAATATGGGTTTTGGAAATACGTTCCGGGCCTAAAGCAAAATTAAAACCCGTCAAAATAAAACACTAGGGATCCTAGAGATTCTTTCAAATTTTTCAAAAAATAAAACACCAAAGGCGCCCGAGATTCTTGCGTTTTCTTCAAACAACAAAATACCGGGAGTCCCCGAGATTCTTTCAAATTTCGACAAAGACAAAACACCAGGAACCTTCGAGATTCTTGCAAATGTTTCCAAAAATAAAACACCAAGGGCGCCCGAGATTCTTGCGTATTTAAAACACCAGGAGTACCCGAAATTGTTTCAAAATAAGTTAAAATGAAACACTAGGCACCCTAGAGATTCTTTCAAATTTTTCTAAAAATAAAACACCGAAGGCGTCCGAGATTCTTGCATTTTCTTCAAACAATTAACTCCGCCCTTTATTGTGTTAGAGGGTATGTCATCTGCCAAAATAAGTTTTACCTTGGCAAGTACTAGCCCCGCCCACCCGCCCTTTATTTTTTGGGAAGTATGTCATCTGCCAAATTCAGTTTTATTTTGGCAAGTACAACTTAAAACATGTTTAAAATGGTAAATTTTTGTAGAGAAATATCGATTTTACAATTACGCTCCGCCCCTCAGTCTGACAACGAATAAAAAATTCGTCACAATTGAAATAGGGCGGGTGGGCGGGGCTTATAATTTTCCTTTTTTTTCACAATATCCGTAGTTTTCTTTTTAGAAAAAGAAACTTAAAACATGCTCAAAATGGTAAATTTTTGTAGAGAAACATCGATTTTACAATTACGCTTCAGCCCTCGGTCTGACAATGAATGAAAAATTCGTCACAATTAAGATAGGGTGGGCAGGCGGGGCTTATATTTTGTTTTTTTTTTCTTTAATATAGGTAGTCTTTTTTTCATAATAAGAAATTTAAAAAATATTTAAATTCCTAACTTCTTACAGTGAATTATGGATTTTGGAAATACGCTCCGCCCCTAAATCAAAATCAAAATCCGTCAAAATAAAACACTAGTGACCCTAGAGATTCTTTCAAATTTTTTCAAAAAATAAAACACCAAGGGCGCCCCAGATTCTTCCGTTTTCTTCAAACAATAAAAACTAGGGATCCCCGAGATTCTTTAAATTCCGTCAAAATAAAACACTAGGAACCCTAGAGATTCTTTCAAATTTTTGCAAAAATAAAACACTGAGGCGCCCGAAATTCTTCCGGTTTTTTTTAACAATAAAACCCCTTTATTGTCTTCGAGGGTGTTATTTGCCAAAATCAGTCTTATCTTAGCAAACACTAGCCCCGCCCACCCGCCCGTTATTTTCTTAGAAGGTATGCCATCTGCCAAAATCAGTCTTATCTTGGCAAGTACTAACCCCGCCCACCCGCCCTTTATTTTCTTGGAAAGTATGTCATCTGCCAAATTCAGTTTTATTTTGGCAAGTACAACTTAAAACATGTTTAAAATGGTAAATTTTTGTAGAGAAACATCGATTTTACAATTACACTCCGCCCCTCGGTCTGACACCGAATGAAAAATTCGTCACAATTAAGATCGGGCGGGCGGGCGGGGCTTATATTTTGCATTTTGTTTCTTTAATATAAGTAGTATTCTTTTCACAACAAGAAATTTAAAAAATATTTAAAATGGTAAATTCTTATAATCAAATATGGGTTTTGGAAATACGCTCCGGGCCTAAAGCAAAATTAAAACCCGTCAAAATAAAACACTAGGGATCCTAGAGATTCTTTCAAATTTTTCAAAAAATAAAACACCAAAGGCGCCCGAGATTCTTGCGTTTTCTTCAAACAATAAAATACCGGGAGTCCCCGAGATTCTTTCAAATTTCGGCAAAGACAAAACACCAGGAACCTTCGAGATTCTTGCAAATGTTTCCAAAAATAAAACACCAAGGGCGCCCGAGATTCTTGCGTATTTAAAACACCAGAAGTACCCCAAATTGTTTCAAAATAAGTTAAAATGAAACACTAGGCACCCTAGAGATTCATTCAAATTTTTCTAAAAATAAAACACCGAAGGCGTCCGAGATTCTTGCATTTTCTTCAAACAATTAACTCCGCCCTTTATTGTGTTAGAGGGTATGTCATTTGCCAAAATAAGTTTTACCTTGGCCAGTACTAGCCCCGCCCACCCGCCCTTTATTTTTTGGGAGGTATGTCATCTGCCAAATTCAGTTTTATTTTGGCAAGTACAACTTAAAACATGTTTGAAATGGTAAATTTTTGTAGAGAAATATCGATTTTACAATTACGCTCCGCCCCTCGGTCTGACAACGAATAAAAAATTCGTCACAATTGAAATAGGGCGGGTGGGCGGGGCTTATAATTTTCCTTTTTTTTTTCACAATATCCGTAGTTTTTTTTTAGAAAAAGAAACTTAAAACATGTTCAAAATGGTAAATTTTTGTAGAGAAACATCGATTACGCTTCAGCCCTCGGTCTGACAATGAATGAAAAATTCGTCACAATTAAGATAGGGTGGGCAGGCGGGGCTTATATTTTGTTTTTTTTTTTTTTTTTCTTTAATATAGGTAGTCTTTTTTTCATAATAAGAAATTTAAAAAATATTTAAATCCCCAACTTCTTACATTGAATTATGGATTTTGGAAATACGCTCCGCCCCTAAATCAAAATCAAAATCCGTCAAAATAAAACACTAGTGACCCTAGAGATTCTTTCAAATTTTTTCAAAAAATAAAACACCAAGGGCGCCCCAGATTCTTCCGTTTTCTTCAAACAATAAAAACTAGGGATCCCTGAGATTCTTTTAAATTCCGTCAAAATAAAACACTAGGAACCCTAGAGATTCTTTCAAATTTTTGCAAAAATAAAACACTGAGGGCGCCCGAAATTCTTTCGTTTTTTTTAAACAATAAAACCCCTTTATTGTCTTCGAGGGTATGTTATTTGCCAAAATCAGTCTTATCTTAGCAAACACTAGCCCCGCCCACTCGCCCGTTATTTTCTTAGAAGGTATGCCATCTGCCAAAATCAGTCTTATCTTGGCAAGTACTAACCCCGCCCACCCGCCCTTTATTTTTTGGGAGGTATGTCATCTGCCAAATTCAGTTTTATTTTGGCAAGTACAACTTAAAACATGTTTAAAATGGTAAATTTTTGTAGAGAAACATCGATTTTACAATTACGCTCCGCCCCTCGGTCTGACAACGAATAAAAAATTCGTCACAATTAAGATAGGGTGGGCGGGCGGGGCTTATATTTTGTATTTTTTTAGGTAGTCTTTTTTTCATAATAAGAAATTTAAAAGTTATTTAAATTCGTAACTTCTTATAGTGAAATATGAATTTTGGAAGTACGCTCCGCCCCTAAATCAAAACCCGTCAAAATAAAACAGTTGGGACCCTAGAGATTCTTTCAAATTTTCCAAAAAATAAAACACCAAGGGCGCCCCAGATTCTTCCGTTTTCGTCAAACAATAAAAACTAGGAGTCCCCGAGATTCTTTCAAATTCCGTCAAAATAAAACACTAGGAACCCTAGAGATTTTTTCAAATTTTTACAAATATAAAACACTGAGGGCGCCCGAAATTTTTCCATTTTTCTCAAACAATATAACCCCTTTATTGTCTTCGAGGGTATGTCATTTGCCAAAATCAGTCTTATCTTGGTAAGTACACGAAACTTAAAAAATGTTTAAAATGGTAAATTTTTGTAGAAAAATATCGCATTTATAATTACGCTCCGCCCCTCTATCTGACAACGAATGAAAAATTCGTCACAATTGAGACAGGGCGGGTGGGCGGGGTTTCTATTTTGTTTTTTTGTCTCTAATATAGGTAGCCTTTTTTTCGCAATAAAAAATTTGAAAAATATTTAAAATGGTAACTTCTTATAGTGAAGTATGGATTTTGGAAATACAAAATCAAAATCCGTCAAAATAATAACTAGGGACCCTAGATTCTTTAAAATTTTTCCAAAAATAAAACACCAAGGGTGTCCGAGATTCTTGCGTTTTCTTCAAACAATAAAACACTAGGACTCGTCGAAATTCTTTCAAAATCCGTCAAAATAAAACACTAACTCCTAGTGGGGGCACAACACAGTCTTCGAGAATACATAAGTACGGAATGACTGACAGAAAGCTACAGTCACAGCACGCTACCGCAATTTGATTGGTTGAAAACCCAACGAACGGCGAATAGCAACGTCAGCGGCAAGTTTATAATAAATCGACCTTAAGTTCTTATTTTTTACAGTGGCCACCCTGACTGTCATTGTTTGAGGTTAGAAAGTTCAAAATATGGAGCCACCTAAAAAAGTCGTGATTATTCCAGCACCTCGACTCAAAACATCGCACAAAAGTGCCGACCTTTCAGAAAAAATTGATTGCACAGTAGTACCAACCAACCACCAAAATGACGGTACTCAAAAATCAGCTAGTCCGGATTTGTTTAACACCACAAAACTAGTAATTGATACTCTTAAACCACCTTTTCAGGCAATTCATCGCCCCATCATCGAAACCCAGCGATTCACGACCCCACAAACCAACCAATTCGTGACGTTCTACAGGTGCTACTTTTGCCCCTACCGGACCCAGCTACGTTCAAGCATAACCGACCACTTGGATTTGCACAAAGCGCCCCCCAAAAAACTATTTTCATGTGAAGACACCCCTCTCCACACGTACAAGTGTCCTCGATGTGACCTCCACAGCGTAATGCTTTTTCTCGCCATCGAACATTTAAAACTCAAACACCTCGAAGTGGAAATGCAACCGACATTCCCCAAAAGCCACAATTGTGTATGGTGCAAGTGTGAAACTTTTTCCCAAATTGTATTAAACGAGCATGCGGAACGACATTTTAGGTCAGGGGAAGTGACAGTGAAAAAAGTGCGAAAGTACAGTAGAACGAAAAACCCACCCCAACAAGTCGAACAACGTGTAGTTGTACTAATGCCCCTAATGCAAGTACCTAACCTGATTTTTAAGAACGTCGCACACGCAGAAAAGTTGCCGCTGCGTAAACTCGCGCCAAAAATTCAAACCGTCACAGTACCCCGTGTAAAACCGGCTGCGCAGAAACCTGAAACACAGCAACAGAGCATCATTTTCCAGTGTAAACGGTGCTTTTACTCAGCCGTGAATCATTACGCCTTGATCAAACAACATCTAATGATACAACACTCACCAGACACTAATAAGAATCAGTGCGTTATTTTTAGTTATGACGTTTGTACAGTGGACGGGCGCCTAATGATGAGAATGAACATACACACGATGGCTTCGTTCGTACGATTTAAATATTTTAAATGTGTGGTGTGTCCATTTCAAACTGTAGAGTGGTCACAAATAAAAAAACACGCTTTAAACGACGATTTACACAGTTTCTGTGAGTACACATGCGAACACACAGAATACCTCTAGTACCTGAATTGAATTAAACGTTTTTGCAAAAATACCTACATAGTTTATTTTCTGGTTGTATTAAGTACAGAATTGCGCTCTGTCATGGATGCTGATCTTCAATATGAAATCTCATACACTGGTTATCAAAAGTCTTGAACGAACACTGTACACACCTTAAGCACTGTCGCAAACGCGCTTTTCCGTTTGCTACGTGTTCTTTGTCTTTGTGAAGTTGTAACATCTGCATTTGCGTACACGTGTAGTTACAATAGTTACATTTTAACACGTGTATAGATGGTGTCAATTTTATTGTATGTCTAGTAGGTAGAACACTCTTTTTGTTCCATGGATGTTTGACAGCCTGATGGGACCGTAGCGATTTGACGTTAATAGTCTTATAACTGCACTGTTTACAATAATACCAAAAAATTCGGACTTCGAACTGCACATTGTTGCTTGAAGTTTGTTTTTTTTTATCAAGGGGGCTCAAGTTGTGCATGTTCCAAATGTGCTGCTTAAGTAACATAATGTAATCTGTTTTAAATTTGCACTTGATGCAAGCGTAGCTTGCAAGTTTGTCCGAGCAGGTGTACGTTTGGGGTAAGGATTTGTTGTACCGAAGGAGTCTTGGGTGGTTTCTAATAACAGCTTCCAAGTGTGGCTGTCGGCAGTAGCTGTGGTCTTGAAAGACTAGAGCCTTCGGGACAATTTTAACTGAAAAATTAATGTTAAATGGGGCAAGGGTAACAAGTATACTTGCCATATGGGTGGTCGTGGGTCAGTGTTTGCATGATAGAATAGTAGCATCATTACTTTTGTTGTTGTTGTTGAAAAGTGAGGTTAGGTCGTCAATAGTCGTTTGAAGTCGAAGATGACGATTTTTTGTCTTTGTTTATTTTTTGCAAAAATGTCACAGTTTTGTTTGTGATATCAAAAAGTAGTCTCGTTAAATAATAATTGATTTTGATAAATTTTAACGCAATTAATTCTAGTTCAACATCTTATTGTTTGTTGGTTGGCAGCACTGGCTGAATCGTTTGACAGGTTTGACGTGCGTTCACTTGATTTTGCCGCAAAATTATTTCATTCACTCAATATTGCATCACCTACAGTTAGTCGGTAAGTTTATCACTTTATTAATCATTTAAAAACAAAAATAAATACGCTGCTCTACTTTTTTACAAATTATTTTACATATGAACAAAACTAAACTACCAATTGTAAAAAAGTACTGACACAGCCACATTTTTTCCACTTTCCGCTAAAATCACGTTGACTTAAGACACGATCACGGCAACCCGTGCACCCCCTTCCTGTGCTGGTTCAAATTATACTTCTGCTTCGCCCTGTATGGACAATAGTCACATTCGTACCAGTTGATATCCTCCAAGTCCGTGTGTTTATTAATCACGTGAGCCTTCAAGTGGGTGCTCCTCTTCGCCTTATAATCACAAAGCTTACACTCAAACCAAAAAATATCCTCTGCTTGAGTGTGCCGATTCCTTAGATGCAAAGTCAACAATTCTTTCTTGTGAGCTCTATACGGACAATGCGCACATATAAACCACTCTAAATCCTCCGGATCCACGTGCTTACTCAACACGTGCCTATCCAGATTAATTTTCTGCTTGGCTCGGTACGAGCAATGCTCACATTTGAACCACACGATCTCCTCCATCTTCGTGTGTCTGTTCCGCATGTGCAGCACCAACAAGTACTTCCGCATGGCTTTATACGGGCAATGCGCACATTCGAACCACTGAATCTGGTGGAGCGCCGCATGGTTAATATAAAAGTGGCGCTTCAAATGCGCGTTGATCTTGGTCTTGTACGAGCACTGCTCACATTCAAACCACTCCACCTCGTCGATTTCCGTGTGCAAACTGATCACGTGTTGTTTCAAATTCCCCTTGTGTTTGGTCTTAAAAAGACAATATTGGCAGCGGTGCCACGTGATCAACTCCGGGGGCGCGTGCATGTTGTACTTGTGTAAGCGCAAATTCCTCTTGTACTTCCCCTTGTAAGTACACTGATCACACTCGTACCACTTCTCGCTCCGCGGGTCCTTGACGCACTCCTTCAGGTGCTTGAGTAAGACTAGCTTCGATAGGGTGCGAAAGTCGTCGCATTTCTTACATTTGTACTTCTTTTCTTGGATGAGTTTCGACAGCGGCGTGTCTTCATCGTCGCTTAAAATGTCGATGACCTCCTCCCAGTCTTTTTTGTGTTGGGTTAAAGCTAGTTTGTAGTTGGTTTCGTAGTAGCAGTCGTCGCATTTGAAAGTCTGGATTTTCGAGGAGCAGTCGAAAGTGATTGAGGGTTTCTCGTGGGCTTCGGAGGCGTGGTGACGTAGGGCGAAGTCCCACGAGGTGGAGAAGTTGCAGTCGAGGCACTTGGTCTTGCTGGGGGAAGGGGGCGCTGAAGCCTCCATAACTAAAAACTAGTTGTAGTTTTGTGAGGTTAGGGTGGTTACACTCACCGTACGATTTACCAACAATGGGGTCTGTCTAGACGGGGTAACACATGTGTTTTCGACCAGTTTTAGGTTAGAAGGGGGTTTTGGGCAACCGTTGATCACGAGTGACGAGTGACATGTGGTTGCTAGATTATCGAAAATTCTGGATAGCGGGGCGCCCTCTGGTGGCCAAAATCGTCAATCGTGCCACTTTTAATGGAATTTAACCACAATTTACCTTTATTTTTTATCGTTGCAAACTCAAACACTAATAAATGACTCACGTTCGTTGCATTATTAATAAATGTGCTGCTGGAAATGCTAGAATAATAATAAATAAATGTCAAAAAAACTATTACCAACTTAACTGGTGGCGCCAAATTCAAACTTTTTCCACCTGATATTGAAAATCAAAACTACTCGAGCGCTTGGTGGATATTTCAAGCGCTAGACGTTCGCACTTGATCATGTGCCTCCGTAGGGTGTCTTTCACTTTGAATTTGGCCGGACAGTGGTCACACTGAAGCCACTGAATTTTCGCCGCCTCCACGTGCATTCTAATCACGTGATCCCGCAACGTCGCGTTGCTGAAACCTCTGTACGTGCATTTGTCGCACTCGTAATATTTGTAAATCTTCAAATGGTACCGCTGGTGGTGTTTTCTCAAGTAGTCGCGGGTTTTACCTTTGTACGGGCACTGGGTGCAATGAAACCACTCAATATTGTCCAAACTTTCGTGCAAAGTCAACTTGTGTCGTCGCATAATGTGGATAGAGACACTCTTGTAGGGGCACTGTTCACACTGAATCCACTTGTTTTCAGTTACATGTTTTCGCTTCACGTGTGCGTGCAGGTTAGAAATATATGGGGTTTCGTACGGACACAGTTCACATTTCCACCAGTGTCGCTCTTCGTCGTGTTTTACCCTATGTTTTTGTAGGTCGCTTTTGAGTTTAAATTTGGAAGTGCACTGGTCACATTGTATCCAGACAATTTCTGACTTGTTTGTGTGTCTTCGGAGTGTGTGGTTAGCTACGTCTCGTTTTTCTCTGGATTTGTAAGAGCAGTGGTCACATTTGAAGGTTTTCGTTTTGGATTTTGGTCGAGTTGTTGGTGGTTTACAATTTGTTCGAAGATGGTGTCGTAAATGTTCAAAAAATAATGTCGTGTAATGTCTACATTTGTGGCAGCCATAGGGTGTGAGTTTGTTTGTACAGTCAAAGACACTTCCTGCGGATTTTTTTGTTTGTTTTCTCAAAACGAATAAAAGTGTGTTTTTGTGGAAGTATTTTTTACGGTGATAGTGTGAGTTGGTTGTTCGAGGGTCCTCAGTTGATTTTCTGAACGTTGGGTGTTGCTGAAATGCGTTCTGGGTGTCCACAATTGGTTCCTTAATACTCATTTGTACTGTTTTGTAAAGATTAACTCCAAACGAATTGACTTAACCTAAAAAAAAGTGAGGTTATAATTTCTTTTTGTCTATTAATATTAAAAGAAAATAACCCAAATGTTTATTGAAGTTGAAGAATAATTAATTTTTGTCGTCTCGGGGCAAACAGTTTGACACAGTCTTGTTGACAATCAATACTTGTAGTTCATTTGTACCGTGTTATGCAACCAACAAAACACCAGAGTGGTAATTTAGGACTAATTTCGATCATTTTCCAGATATTCTTAATTTGAACCAGTCAGGACGACTTTAAATTTTTGTTGTTAATGGTGACGCGAGTAGTTTAAACCAAGGGTCGTCGTGCAGAATTAAAAAAATCTCAATATTTCAGTTCAAACTTTGGCAACCATGTGTACATATTTTCAGTCACTTTCAGTCAGGGTTGAGCGTTTAGGGAATTAGCGAACGCCATGTTTTAGGTTGGTAGAGGGTTGAAATGTAGAGTCTAGAGTGGCACTTTTGGTTTTGAGTCAGTCACTTTCAGTCAGGGTTGAGCGTTTAGGGAATTAGCGAACGCTATGTTTTAGGTTGGTAGAGGGTTGAAATGTAAAGCATGTAAAATCTAGAGTGGCACTTTTGGTTTTGAGTTATGAGTGTAAACACCTGTTAAAAACTGATATGTAAAATTTAGTTCGGTGAAAAGTTGAGCGTTATTATTGGTTAAATTCATTTCCTCGTTGAGGGGTTTAATATTTTCTTGCAGGCTTGAATTCGAACATTTATTCTCGAAGTACACCGAGCGTTTCCTGTCATTCCAAGTTATCGTTGGAAATTCGAAACGCGCAGCTTAGTTTAAATAGCTGACTAATTTACGAAGACCGGGTAAAGAGAATAGTATGTGGCAGGTTTTTGTATGTGGTATATTTTTTTCAAATAGCCAACGTTACTTCTAGTTTATTTACGTTATTTCCTTAGAGGGTAGATCATTTGCCACAATTAATCTTATCTTAGCAAGTACTAGCCCCACCCACCCACCCTTTATTTTTTAGAAGGTATGTCATTTACCAACATCGGTCTTATCTTGACAGGTACTAACCCCACCCACCCTCCCTGTTCTCATTCAAAAGAATTTAATTTCTGTTCAATATAAGATCCTCCTTTCATTCTGACTGGATAAAATAAATCCCTGAAATGGAGGTGGGGTGGGTGGGCGGGGCTAAGTTTAATTCTTTCCTATAGTCTTTTATAAGCAAGCAGTGCCCCTCCCACCCACCCCGCATTTATTCTCGAAGTAGGGCGAGCGTTTCCTGAGACCGCGTTCTGTGCTGATAGTGTTATCGTTATCGTTGGAATTTCGAAAAACAGCGTGAAACGCGCAGCTTAATTTAAATAACTGGCTAGTTTACGAAGACCGGGTAGGGAGAATAATATGTGGCAGGTTTTTTGGACAGAGAAATGTAGTGTTTGGAGATTTTCCCTTTTCCTCTATATTTTGTGTTTGATTTAAGGAAACTTTTCCAACCTTGGGTTCACCACAAATTTTATGTAAACTTTTGGCGGAATGTTTGGGTTATCACAACCAGTTTCTACTAAATACACTCTAAAAGATGAAAGATTTTTTAATCATGAGTATAAAGGTAAGCGAAGAAAAATGTTGCTGCCTCGGTGGGAATCGAACCCCACGCCCCCGCTTGCCGGGTAAGTATCCTGACCACTAGACCACGAGGCCGCTTATCTTATCACAACCATAACCGGTTTCTACTAAATTCGCCCTTAAAGATGATGTCAAGACTTTTCAATCATGAGTATGTTTAATTTATTCTCTATTTTCGTAAAGGGTAAGTAATTTATCACAATTAATCTTATCTTAGCAAGTACTAGCCCCACCCACCCGCCCTTTATTTTTTTAGAGGGTACGTCATTTACCAAAATCGATCCTATCTTGACAGGTACTAACCCCACCCATGGTACAAAAAGACATGGTATGGTCACTATCAACGAACGATGCCAAATTTTGAACACATGTTATAGCATCTGATTTTAACTTAGCGCCTTTGAAGATAAGCTAACCCATGATTAAAAACTGAACCGAATCTCAACCTATGTTATAACCTCACATATCACTGATAAATTGACATTTGACAGCTTTCGAAGTTGTCAGAAGAGCATTTCAAGCACGGTTTTCAAGGCCATGTGACGTCACGTGGCTGGTGCTCAAAGCAGACGAAAATTCATTCACCAGAGTAGCATCATGTCTTCTTGTACCATGACCCCACCCACTCTTTCTGTTCTCATTCTAACGAATTTAGTTCTGTTCAGTATAAGATCCTCCCTTAATTCTGACTGGATAAAAAGAATCCCTGAAATAGAGACAGGGTGGGTGGGTGGGGTTAATTATGTTCTTTTGTAGAGTGGAAATGGGAACTAATAGAACCTAGACTAATGAGAAAACGGGTGGGTGGGCGGGGCCAAGTTTTATTTTTTCCTATAGTCTTTTATAAGCAAGCAATAGCAATAGCTCCTCCCACCCCGCATTTATTTTCGAAATAGGTTGAGCGTTTCCCGAGACGCGTTTTCTGCTGGTAGTGTTATCGTTAGGGTTGGGCGTTTAGGGAATTAGCGAACGCCACGTTTTAGGTTGGTAGAGGGTTGAAATGCAGGGTGGCAGGTAAAATTCTGGATTCTGGAAGGGCAGCGTGACTTTTGATTTTGTTGTGTTGTGAGTGTAAACACGTGTTAAAACTTGGTATGTAAAACTGAGTTTGTTGAAAAGTTGAAAGTTATTATCCGTTCAATTCATACGCTCGTCACGGGCTTTAATATTCTTGGGTATTTGAATAATGTCTGTACTTCACAGATAAAAGTTTAAACTAATTAATAAACCAGGTACATGTTTCGAAGACCACTGTCTTCGTCTTCAGATTCAAAACTGCATCCATTAAACAAACGAAAAGATAATTTCAAACTTATTACAAACAATCAAGGAGGCTGAAGACGACGACAGTGGTCTTCGAAACATGTACCTGGTTTATTAAATAGTTTAAAAACTTTTATCTGTGGAGTACAGACATTATTCAAATACCCAATTTTATCAACGCTCCACTTTGAGTAAGACCTACAATACCAATAATTCTTTAATATTCTTTTACATATCTAATTATTTTCTTACAGATTTAATAATTCCTTGTGGCTTGAATTCGAACATTTATTCTCGAAGCAGGCCGAGCGTTTCCTGGGACCGCGTTCTCTGTTGTTTGACATTGTTGATAGGGTGAGGTGCAAATAAATGTTGTTTGCTTAATTTCTTGTTATTCTAGTACTCCAAGTTATCGTTGGAAATTCGAAAAAGATAGGACTGCGTCCGCGTGAAACACGCAGCTTAAAAGCTGACTAGTTTATGAAGACCGGGTAGAGAGAATAGTATGTGGCAGGTTTTTTGGACAGAGTCTTGAAAGCTCCATATTTTGCGTTCGATTTAGGGGAATTTCTCCAACCTTGGGTTCACCACAAATTTTATGTCAAATTTTGGCGAAATGTTTGGGTTATCACAACCACAACCAGTTTCTACTAAATTCATTTTTAATCTTATCTTGGCAAGTACTAGCCCCACCCACCCACCTTTTGTTTTTTTTAGACGGTATGTCACTTTCCAAAATCGGTCATATCTTGACAGGTACTAACCCCACCCACCCTCCCAGTTCTCATCCTAACGAATTTATTTCTGTTCAGTATAACATCCTCCGTTCATTCTGACTGGATAAAATAAATCACTGAAATGGATGCGGGGTGGGTGGGTGGGGTTAATTATCTCTTCTTTTTTAGAGTGGAAATGGAAGTAATAGAACGTAGAAAACGGGTGGGTAAGTTTAATTTTTTCGAAATTCGAAAAAGATAGGACTGCATGCGCGTGAAGCGCACAGCTTTAGTTTAAAATAGCTGGCTAGGTTACGAAGACCGGGTAGAGAGAATAGTATGCGACAGGTTTTTTGGACAGAGAAATGTGGTGTGTGGAGACTTTCCATTTCCAGAATCTTGTCCTCTATATTTTGTGTTCGATTTAAGAAAACTTTTTCAACCTTGGGATGTTTGGGTTATCACAACCAGTTACTACTAAATTCACTCTTAAAGATGATGTTAAGATTATTCAATCATGAGTATGTAGCTAAGCGAAGAAAAATGTTGCTGCCTTGGTGGGAATCGAACCCCACGCCCCCGCTTGCCGCTTATCCTTCTTCGCTTACTACTACTTATTATTGTGTCGCCACAAGCATATTTGATTTGTTCGAGACGAATATATAAAAATTTATGCAAATAACGAAGTAATTGGGGATTATAAAATGGACCGTGTGTTTAATGAAAAAATTCGGGAATAAATAATACTTTCAAATATACAGGTGGTTTGAACAGTTTGATATATATATTTCTCAAACAGCAAGGGTTAAATTTACTTTATGTCGGCAAGGTATGCAACACAACATACAGATTTGAACTTAAATCACACTTTCAATTAACAAAAGACGACGAAGTGTGATACTTGCATAAATTTTCGAAATGTGCACACATTAACTTCAACTTAATTTATTAAACATGCAACTCATCAGGATTTACAGAATATGCCCATCAAACACATGTTTTTTGAGATCTTCTCTCTGCCTAAACTTCTTCGAACACATTTCGCAAATGAACCAATCAGTTTCCTGTGGATCCACGTGTTTCTCCAAGACATGTCCTTCCAAATCCTGTTTATCCACAGTGATATACAGACAAAGCTCACACATGAAGTTAGTTACGGTCTCTCTTGCAACATGCTTGCCAACCATGTGGTCCCCCAATTCTCCAAGTTCCACACTTTCAAAATCACAAGACGTACACTTGAAGTTTTTCTTTGTTGGTGACTTAAAATCAGACTTTGTCTTCAGCCAGTCATACTTGGCTCGATGTAGCACCCACTTCATTTTGGTGTCGCGTTTGCGCAGGCGTGACTGACCATAGGTCAGATACGCGCAGTAAGTGTGACTTTTGTTAATGTATGGGTACTGCGTACCGGGGAAATACCGAAATTTCTTTACCTTTCCAGTTCCACGTTTAAGTAATCTGCGTCTTCGCATTACTCGCGTTTTCTGATTATGCTTAACCATGTGTTTCTCTAGGGTTTCTTCTAGTTTAAATTTTCGAGGACAGTGTTTGCATTGTAACCACTTTATTTGTGGTGGGTTTGTACCAATGGATTCACATTCGATCTTTACTTGAAGCTCTGAACACGTTTTATGGTTTGACTGTGGATGTTTCTCTCGAAGGTGGTTTTTTAAATGTTCCAGAAACCACGTGCCATAGTTTCCACATTCGTGACACGTGTACGGTTGGAGTTCGTCTGCACAATCAAATACCTTTTCCACGTGGTTTCGTGTATGGTTTCTGATAACAAACAAAAACTTGCTTTTATAGGGACACTTCTTGCAGTTGTAGTATATGTCAGTGGGTCTCGGTTCTTCGGTTGCTTTCGGAAAAATGGGGCACCCAAACTTTGGGTAGTTTTGAGTGCGCATTACTGATTCCGTGGTGTAACGATCAACATTTGAGCGGGAACTGCTAAACCCGAAAAGTGAGGTTATGTTTTTCGAACCAACCTGCAACCAGTCGACACCTTTTTACCGACTGGTTTTTATCGTTTTGAGTTTTTCAAATACACATATTTATAACTGATTTCTTTATGTAATAGCAAAAACTGTATTAATACAGTACAACTTATGCAACCAATAATACGCAGACGCATGGAAACATAACCTACACAACTATGTATAACTGGACCTAAAAAATGATGTCATTCCCTTTAATAATAATAATAAAAAATTAAAACAGTAATTAAAATATCAAGCTAAATCAACCTATGATACCTTTCGAACTTATTTATACATACATGACTTAAATTAATCAGGTTTATAGAATATGCTTGTCCATTATATGCTTCTTGAGATCCAATTGGTGTCTAAACTTGCACGAACACATCTCGCACGGAAACCAATCGATCTGCTGCGGATCGACGTGCTTTTCCAAAACGTGTTCCCTCAAATCCTCTTCATCGATAGTCCTATACTTGGCACAAAGCTCACACTTGAAGCAAGTGACCGTCTCCGTTGTGACATGTTTCTTCAAAATGTGCTCCTTCAACTTCTCGTTGTCTTCCGTTTCAAACCGACACGAGACACACTTGAAGTTTTTCTCCTGCGGCGAATCCGCGGCCACATGCTTGGAAGATATATGCGCGTTGAGTATGTGATTCTTAAACCGAGCCACCACTGTAGTCGAAAACTTACACAACGAACAGCGATAGTGGGCTGGGTGTTTGACGCGAAGGTGTCGCTTCAAGTGCGACGGGAAGATGGTTTTATAGGAGCACCGGTCGCACTTGACCCATTCTATGTCGTTATCCTGAAAATGGCGATAGTACAAGTGGTTAACGTAGCCTGTTACGAAAGCCGATTTGAATGTGCATTTCCAGCATGAATAGACTTTTGCGGTTGGTTTTTTGAATGGGAAGAGGCGTTTCGGGGGGCTCGGCGGGGGCGTCTCGGGCTCGGTTTCCTCTTCTTGAGACGACGCGTCGGTTTTTTTCTGCGACGAAGTGGGATGATGCTGGACTTTGAAGTGTTTTTTTAAACATGAGTAGCTCGTGCTTTTAAAGGAACACTTGGAACAGACGTGTTGTCGCAACTTTGATACGGTAAAATTGTACTTCGGAAATGGGTGTTTGACTTTCATGTGTCCATCGAGGGTGGTTTTGCGTCTAGCCACGTAGGGACACAAGGAACACGGAAATAGGGCTTCTTCAGGCTTGGATTGCTTTTGTACTAGCCGATAACCGTACACTTCCTCTTCGGTTTTTTCAGTGATTTCTTGGGTCTGTGGGGGCTTCTTCGCCGGGCACCTTCTATAGTGAGATACATATAGCAGTTGAGAGTAAGTCGTAAAAGTGCAATTTTCACAACTATATGCTTTCGTACAGTTCCGCCAATTGCAAGTCACTTGATTTGTTAATACGGTCGGATAGCCGTTTTCTGTTTTAACTTCTGGGTGGCAATGACTCAGTTTCACGTGTTTATTGAACATGATTTGTAAACTCGTTCGATAGTCGCAATCGCTGCATTTGTATAGCTCAACGTTGCAACTTTGACAGTTGAAAATTTTTGAACTGCGCGTGACTCGGTGCCGTTTTAAGTGGACGCGCATTAAATGAAACGACTTAGTTTTATAAGGGCACATTTTACATTTGTGGAAGTTCCAAATTTCTTGGTTATTAGCTTCCACTTTAACTAAGTCGATAGCCATCTCGTACACCACATTTTCTTGGGTTACTATGGAAGTGTAGTAACTGTGCTCGCCTGCAAGGGTTATTAGTCGGTAGGGGTTAACAAGGGGGCTACTGTGAATGATACATACCCTGTGTGTGGGGGTATATAAGTGTGTCCAAATTGGGCACATCCATCCTAAACTAGGTCAAAACCAACGAATTATGATGCGTTAACTATAAACGAAGTTATTACTTGCAAAAATATTATTGTTACAACGACATACATACAATTTTTTCTCGAAAATATATACAACTTGTACGTGCTTCACCTCACTGCCATTTTGTACTGTCTGTCAAATGTCAAATTTTGGGGGTTAGTTTAACGTTTTTTTTTTTTTTAAATTCGTTGTTGGACAGTGGTTTGAGGGAAGTGCTGCCAAAGTCCAAACGAGGAATTTAATTTTTCTTTAACTTATAAAAAAAAAAATTCTTAACACTCGTTGATTAATTTATTTTTCAACGTTAAATTATGAAAAAACCCCCCGAAACTGGTGAAAAACGCCCGAAAAGGCAACAACAACCCGAATGACCTCTAGTTTCAGTCATAAAACTCCCTCTTTCTCTTCGCGCTGGCTAAAATCCTGCCTTGAACGAACCTAACCTCAAATTCGTCAAAAACCAACATACACCTCAAATAAATTCTTTATTTACATGTACACGTGACCCTATACAATATTTCACAAGCGTCAATAACTCAACCCGTCCTCGTCCCCCCCATGCTCAATTAAAATATGTTGTCGGAGATAAAAAATCTGCTCGACGTTGAACAAGCACAATTTGCAGTTGTACCACCTAAGATTCGACTGCCTGGAATGGTCTGTTACCATGTGGCTCCCCAGCGCCCCCTCGAGTCTCGCCATGTACGAACACTGCTCGCACTTCAACCACTCGACATTACTGTGTCGAATCTGCAGCAAGAATTGATACGATTTAAAATAGTCCTTCTGTCTCGGTATTAACTTGGTGTGTTTTTCCGCGCACTGAAACAGCGCGTGCTTCAATAATACAAGTCGAGAGTGAGTTCGAAAGTCACACTTTTCACATGTGTAGCATTTCGTTGTCTTTTTGCTGAAGCTGTAGCACTGGTGATTTTTTAACTCTATGGAGCAGTCGGTGTTGAGGTCGCATTTGTCGCATTTGTACTTGGGGAGGTCCTTCATGCAGCTGAACGTGGGGTTCTTGTGTTGGTGGCGCTCGTAGTGACGACAGATGAAGTAGGAGGAGTTTGTTCGGTAGTGGCACAGGTGGCATCTGTGGAAATCGGTAATGAAGAAGTAGTTGGGGGGTTCGCGTTTGACGTGGGTTTTTGTACGTTGTGCTTTTTTGTGTTCTTGCTCTTTCAGGCGTTGAGAGCAGCGACGTTTCGTCATTTTAGCGACTGTGGCTTCAGGAAAGCGATTTCGAAGGGTGGCGTTTATTGGAAGGGAGTCGGTTGGACACAACCATTGTAGAAATGTACCTTGAAAATGGAATAAATCGTTATAGAGAATTAACTGGGCAGTTGTTACCTGTGTGCTATTTGTTTATATGGGGGCTCCGAGCAAGTAGACATTTTGACGCAATTTTGACATTTGACTTTGACAGGCGTGTGGGCTGCCCTCTAGTGACAGCGCTGTCTTGATTTATTTAAACAAACAATAATAACAATTATTTTAGGAAAAATTAGTAAATAATCTAAATCTAGAAACAATAATAATAATAAAGAGTTGCCCGAAGTTAGTCCAATAATAAAAAAATATTTGTTGTTGTTTGGTTTGAAGTTAGCGCTCAGCGGTTGACAATAACTTCACGCCAGTGTGACAGTCGCCCCCCCATAATTTAACCTCAAAATTCCTGTCAACATGAAACGATAAAAGCAAATTCTTGTCTGATAACGTGAAATTTATCGTTCGTCATAAAATCCCTTTGTCGCACATCAAGGTCATCCGCATGCAACGCAAAGACATGTTAGCAAAAACCGGACTTTTGGTCGTTTCTAACCCCAAACAAATCGGAAAAATTCTACCCTTGGTGCGGAATCATGTGAAAAACACCCTCTACATCCAACTACTCTCGGCTTTAACCGAGCCTTTCGGGAATTTTCACACCACTGCGTTTAATTCGTGGCCAAAGTATAGTCAGACAATCCATGGAATATACACCCAGGTAAACGACTAAAAATCTTTCAAACACACTAAAAATGTCTTCCAGGCGGCCACGCATTGTCAAAATTTGGACGTGCGGGTGCTTTTATCCGGTTTGAAGTACAAGACAATGACGCAGATTTGCACGAAAACGAATATAGATTTGGTGATTTTTGATAAAAGTCACAACAAAACGGACATCGATGATTTTGTGAAAACGAAAATTGGAAATATTGCTAAGGAGTACGACGTGGTGACTTTGGATGCGGGGGTTTTTGAAAATTTAGACCCGCCGGAGGATGGTAAAGTGTATAAGCACGTTGTGCTAGGGGGCACGTTTGATCGGTTACACACAGCGCACAAAGTGCTGTTGTCGGAAGCAATCCTCAGAGCGGAAAAGAAAGTCACTGTGGGGGTAACCGATGAGTCGATGTTGCCAGGGAAAGTCCTGTGGGAATTAATTGAAGACTTGAACGTGCGCATTCACAACGTCCAGAATTTCTTGAGTGATGTTTGTGCAGAATTGTACTACAGCGTGGTCCCCATTTCCGACCCGTTTGGTCCGTCCATCACCGACCCTACAATGGAAATGATCGCAGTGAGCGACGAAACGGTAAAAGGGGGCCACAAAATTAACGAAAGTATTAATAAACACTTGTGTGTTTGCACCATTAATCACTCTTTCATTAGTCAGAGAAAAAAACAACTTGAATAAATTGGATATATTTCCTGTGACGCTATTGGAGGAGCCGTGTCACAACCCCAACGAAGAAACAAAAATTAGTTCAAGTACCAGTCGCATGCGGCTATTGGGGACACTTTTAAAGCCCGTTTTAAAGAAAAATATTTCCGACAGACCATACGTTATTGGATTGACAGGTTTCCAGTGGGCGTGGCTAAAGCAGCCGCACTTGACCAATGTGTGTTGCAGGGGGCGTGGCTAGTGGCAAATCCAACGTTGCCAAATGGTTGCAACAATGTGGCGCCCAGATTATCAGCTGTGATTTAATAGGCCACGATGTGTATAAAAAGGGTAAACCGTGTCATACTCAGCTTGTTGAACATTTCGGGGCACAAATTTTATCGGAAGATGGGGAAATCAACCGGAAGGTTCTAGGAGGGATTGTTTTTAAAAATCCAGTATGTTTATAATGTTTTAAGTCCATATGAATGATTAATTTGTGGTGTTTAGGACGAGCTGAACAAACTGAATAGTTTAGTTTGGCCGGGGATTGCAGCTGAAGTTAGCGCTATGATTAAACAAAGTGACAGTAAGGTGATTGTAATGGAGGCGGCGGTTTTGTTGGTGGCGCACTGGGAGAAATATTGTCACGAAGTATTTAGATTTAATTGTATTCGAGTTGATTTTTTATTTTATTTTATTTTATTTTTTGAAGGTGTGGACTACGATTATACCACGAGAAGAAGCTATCAAGCGATTAATAGCGAGGAATAATTTTAGTGAGGAACAGGCAGTTGCGAGGATCGAGAGTCAGCTGTCAAATCGGAAGTACGTAGAAGCCGCTAATGTAGTTTTCTGTACGCTGTGGGAGGTGGAGTTTACTAAGATGCAGGTGAAACGGGCTTGGGAGTTGCTACAAGAAAGGTTGCTGTGATGTATTTTAAATGTTTTATTTTTACAATTTTAATAAAAGATTTTTCGGGGGGTGTGTTATTGTCCATTAACCTCACTTTCTAAGTGAAGACTTTTCCCTATCGATAAATTTCATATTTTACGCCTTGTTTTGTCAAGGTCATTGGTGTGTGGTTCATTTATAGTGTCGTAGTGTCTTCCTGTTGCTCAAAATGGACTGGTACAGATTTTCAGGTGATAGAGATCTCCCTTTTGTTTTTGTTATACCATGTAACCATTGTCCGAATTCGACAAGTGATAACCCGACTTAATTTTATCCATCGTCAACCAATCAGATTTTTCGTTTGATTAACCCCACCACCTAAAATCACCAATCAAATCAGACAACCACGAACACTAGTTACTACCCGCCAATCACATTTTTGGTTTCAGGGACTTCAGACAAAATGATACTTCTGGCCGTGGTCCTGGTGTTGATCGTACGGTACTTAAATCCGTTCGGCACCTTTTTGTCAGCGTACTATACGGAAATAAAAATCTTCTACGTATGTTTAACGTACACCATAGTACTTTTCGTGTACTCAAACCCAAAATTCATAAAAACGTACGAAAACCATTTGGATTCTTTCCGAATCGAATTTGTCATATGTGCAATCCTGTGTCTTGCGCTAGTCTACAACTGTACAGCAGCTGAAGTGAGTTAAGTTTTGTCAAAGTCGTGGAATTCAGTGTTAAGTAAGTATGTTGTAGGTGTTTTGGACTTCCAGTCGATACGTGGAAGCTGCAGTCGTCTGGCCACATTTTGTCATGGTCAACAAATCAAAACAAGTCAGAACTGTAGTGTTTGTGTATTTTGCAGCTCTAGGTTTGTACCGACTGATTTACATTGCAGACTGGGGCTACAAATATTATATGAGTGATCACTATGATCTGCTACCTGTTATTCCTGGGAGTATACACCCACTAGTGTTTTGGATTTTGTGTCTTACAAAGGGTGAGTGTTACGTCCGACTAATAAAGTTGTCCTGATTTTTGTTACATAGTTGTGACGATTACAAACGACAAAAAGTCATGGTTTGGCAAAAATTTAACCCAGAGTGATACAAATGGTATATTCGTTATTCAAGTGCCTGGGGGATTTGATTCCAAAGATGGAAAGTTGGTACTAATTGATCATTGTGAAGATGCAGATCAAGAAGGTTGGTAACAGTGCAATGTTTGGTTACTTTGTCATTGTTTTTTGTTTTAGCAGTTGCCACACTGACGCAAAAGCAAGAAATGCCACCCGTACATAAAACATAATAAGTATTAAGTTTTCCTGCAAATATAAAGTTATTAAAAACAGTTCAATTGGTTTAAACATTGTTAAATTAACCCCGAAAATGTGCAACTTTTTTGTGTTCAGTTTTGATTTCTGTTGGTGGCAGCAACATCGGAGCGTTTGGAGCTCCATTTGGGCTTAAAAGTAGCCCGTGTTCGCAAATTTCCAATTTATTAAATACTAGTGAACATGTTTGGGTTAGTGCTGTGAACATCAAGGAAAGTGAATATTTTTATAAAAATGCGCGACAACGGAGTAAAAACAAATCAATTTGTTTAAACATTGATAAATTAACTCCGAAAATGTGCAATTTCGCGGCCAAAATATGAAAAATAATTTTAGCTATCTAATCGTACGATGACGTCATTGTCACGTGAGATACCTGAGCAAAGATCCCATTTTTCGGCCCTCTGTCTTCAGTTTTGATTTCGATTTGATGATTATATTTTCGCGAATTTTTCATTTATTGCTATTAATAGCGGAAATGTGCTGTATTTGTGCTGTGAATACGAAACACGATCACGTTACTATTACGTGAGTTACCTGAGCAAAAGTCGCGTTTTTCGGTCCTTTATGTTCAGTTTTGAATTCAGTCTGGTGGGAGCAACATCGGAACATTCTGAGTTCCGTTTAGGCCTAAAAGTAGTACGCGTTCGCGAATTTCCAATTTACTGTTAATAAATATTAGTGCAAATATTTTGCGTTAGTGCTGTGAACACGAAGGAAAGTGCATATTTTTCCAAAAATGCACGTTTTTTTTTAAATTTATTGTTAATAATATATATCAAATCATGGCTGTATAGGAGTATGCAATCCTATAAGATTAAATATTTCACCCCAGATTTTGTTTTTTAATTTATTGTTAGGTGCTTTATATATATTTTTTTTTTCTAAGAAAATAGGCCAATTTCGACGTTGAAGTTTTTAATTTTTTTTGTAAAAATCCCGAAATCACGGTTTTTTTCGTTCGTCTTGACTCGTGAGCCAGGAAGGCGGAGCTTAACGGCAAAATCCTAATTTCTCTACGAGAAATTAAAAACATGTTTTTGAGTAGGTATTTGAGTATAGTGCTGTTCAAAGAATACAATGTATATTAATAAAAAAATAAAACCAAAGATTAGACCCCACCCATACCGCCCCCGATTTTCAATTCTCAATTGTGATGGATTTTTCATTCGTTGTCAGATCGAGGGGCGGAGCTTAATTGCAAGATCCAGATTTGCCATTAAGAATTTACCATTTTAAATGCGTTTTAAATTTATATGAATAAAAAAATCATCACAATTGAGATGGGGTGGGTGGGCGGGGTTTATATTTTCCCGTTTTTCTTAATATGCACAGTATTCTTTGAACAACACGATACTCAAAAACATGTTTTCAATTTCTTGTAAAGGAATGAGTATTTTGCAGTTAAGCTCCGCCCCTTGGTTCACGACGAATAAAAAAAATCATCACAATTGAGGTTGGGCGGGTGGGCGGGCTTACACTTTGCCTTTTGGTTTTAATATGTGTAGACTTATTTTCACAACATGAAACTTAAAATATGTTTCAAATAGAAAATTTGTATAAGGAAATATCGATTTTGCAATTTGGCTCCGCCCCATAGTTGCAAAATCCATATTTTCTCGGTGTGGAGGAGAGTGATTTGAGGCAGCACGTTCTAGCTGAACATTTGAAGTTGAATATAAGTTGGTACAAGTGTGCGCAGTGTGTGTATCGAACGGCCAAGAAGGTTAATTTGGATAGGCATATTATGTATAAGCATTCTGTGTTTTAGATTTAAGGTTAAGCCATATTTCTACATTGCACTTTTGATGTTTTTGTGCTTTATGGATAAAGAAAGATACAGGAAAAAGGGGTGGTTTTATTGGGGTTAATCGGGTTTTGAATCGAAGGTGGTGATGTGAATTTGAAATTGACCCAGGGATTGACAGTTGAGAGAAAATTTTCGTGTTGGCAAATTTGAATTATTGGCAGCAATGTTAATATGTCAGTTCATACTTGTCAAATTTGGCATGAGCGCGCATTACAAACGTGATAAGAAGATGACTAACTTGGTGCCCTAAATTTCATTTTGACGATCAGGCCGGACATCATAAAATATTAAATATGTTTTAAATATATTGTCAGCCTGAGAAAAAAATGCAAAAACTAGTAGTCACTCAGTATTTTGCAAATTTTTTGTGTTGGCAACTATGAATTGTTGGCAGCAATGTTATATGAGTTTACAGTTGTCAACTTTGACAGAAGCGTGCCTAACGGGTCAAAAGTGGGATTTATAAACTTGCTTGTAGTAACTTTGATGTTCAACTTTTGCCGTAGCGGAAAAGTGGAGGATTTAAGTTGATTACTACAGAAGTTTACCATTTTAGACATATTTTAAGTTTCTTGTTGTCGAAATAAGTCTAAAGTCGCGATCTTTTCTATAGAACCACTCCCTAGTGTAAATTTTCAAAATTTGTTTGGTGTAAGTGACCTTGACGGGTTTCTGGGGGAAAACATATGTGTCAAAAATTTGACAGGTTAGATGGCCCCATTGTCAATGTAGATATTTTATTTTAATAAATAGATGAACAGAACATACAGTCTGCACGGGATACAGTGCGGCATAGCTGAGGGCAACCGAAACATTCGTGTTGTGCTAATTTCGATTGCCATGTCAACTACCGCTACCAACTGCGTTCGGCGTAAAGTACTAGATGACAGGTCTACCAACTTGACTTTTTATCGAGTGGTTCCGTAGAAAGGACCGCTACTGTACACATATTAAAAATAAAGGCAAAATGTCGCCCCGCCCTATCTCAATTGTGATTATTTTTTTTTATTCGCTGTGAACCAAGGGGGCAAAGCTTAACTGCAAAGTCCTTATTTATCTACGAGAAATTAAAAACATGTTTTTGAGTATCGTGTTGTTTAAAAAATACTATGTATGTATATTAAGAAAAAATTAAAGGTAAAGATTGGTCCCAGCCATACCCACCCGATCTCACTTTCCAATTGTGATACATTTTTGATTCGTTGTCAGATCGAGGGGCGGGGCTTAATTGCAAGATCCATACACGTCATTAAGAATTTACCATTTTAAATATGTTTTCAGTTTCTTGTTCTGAAAAGACGACTATATATATGAAGATAAAAGGTAAAATATAAGCCCCGCCCACCCGCCCTGTCTCAATTGTGATGATTTTTTTTTATTCGTCGAGAGCCAAAGGGGCGAATTTTAATTGCAAAATCCTTATTATTTCTCTACAACACATTACCATGTAAGGCATGTTTTTGAGTATCGTGTTATTCAAAGAATACTATGTGTACATACATATATTAAAAAAAAAACCAAAGATTAAGCCCTACCCATACCTGCCTTGATCTAAATAAGTACTAATGAAGTTTTTATTCGTTGGCAGACCTCGGGGCGGAGCCTAATTGCAAAATCCATATTGTCTTAAAAAAATTTCCATTTTAATCGCGATTTAGACTTATAAGAATAAAAAAATCATCAGAAACGAGATGGGGTGGGTGGGCGGGGTTTATATTTTGGCTTGTTTTCTTCTTAATGTAAATAGTAGTCTTTGAACAACACGATACTCAAAAACATGTTTTTAATTTCTCGTAGAAAAATAAGGATTTTGCAGTTAAGCTCCGCCCTCTTGGCTCACGGCAAAAAAAAAATCATCACAATTGAGATAGGGTGGGTGGGTGGGCTTACATTTTGTCTTGTCTATCTTAATATGTGTAAACTTATTTCGAAAACAAGAAACTTAAAACATGTCTAAAATGGTAAATTTGTATAAGGAAATATCGATTTTTCAATTAGGCTCCGCCCCATATCACCACCTCCACCCTATGTCAATTCTGATGATTTTTTTTTATTCGTCGTAAACCGAGGGGCGGAGGCTAATTGCAAAATAAATACTTTGCTATAAAAATTTACCATTTTAAACATTAATTCGGCAAAATTGTAAAATGATGAGTGTCGTAGAATAATTGCCTAATAAAAATCCGGGCAGACAATTGGGCTCTATCTACATTACATTGCATAAGTCGCAAAAACGGCCTCAGACATGAAAAATTCTCTGTACTGTGGAAAGTAGGCATAACCTCACTTTGCAAGTGAAAGACCCCAATAGGAACAAAATCCCTTCGCCCTTTATTCAAAGAGTCACTTACAAACAGACACATTTTTGACTTTCAAATCCGGGTCAAACTTCGTATTTTCCGCCTTTTCTTATCAAGGTCACTCGTGTTGTTCAGGGAATTCCAAGTATAACCTCCCGTATTTCCCACATTTGACCATTTGAGGTTCATTGCGTGTCTTCCTGTAGCCCAAAATGAACGGGTACAGATTTTCAGGTGATATGATTCACCTTTTTGCCCTAGTGCTACTTTTGTTCAAGTTATGGATTTACAAATCGGCGGCAGGTAATTACACACCTACTTCCAACTTAAAGTTTTTGTTGTACCATGTAACCACGTTATGCAATGGTTGCGCGAATGTGTACCTTCTTGTACCATCATCGCCTACTTACCAAAAAGAAACAATAAGCGACTTAATTTTATCTATTGTCAACCAATCAGATTTCACGTTTAATTTTCGTAACCCCACCCCCTAGAATCGCCAATCAAATCACTCAACCGCGGACACTAGTTACGACCCGCCAATCACATTTTGATTTTTTGGTTTCAGGGATCTCGGGCAAAATGCAGATACTTCTGGCGTTGGTGTTTACCGCAAGGTACTTAGATTTGTTCACTAATTTCGTTTCAGCGTACAATACCGAGATGAAAATCCTGTACATATGTTTAGTGTACAGTACGGTACTTTTAATATACACGAGGTTCAGAAAAACGTACGAAAGCCATTTGGATACGTTGCAGATCGGATTTGTAATATTTGCAACCCTGTGTCTCGCACTGGTCTACAACTACGACTTTACAGTAGTTGAAGTAAGTTAAATTTTGTTGAAGTCGTTGATTTCAGTGAGCAGTGTTACGTTGTAGGTGTTTTGGGCTTTCAGTCAATATCTGGAAGCTGTAGCCGCCTGGCCACAATTTTTCATGATCAAGAAAACAAAACAAGTCAAAACTGCAGTGTTTGTGTATCTGACAGCTCTAGGTTTGTATCGACTGATGTACATTGCAAACTGGGGCTACAGATATTACTTGACTGATCGCTATGAGCTGCTATCAGTTGTTCCTGGGGGCATACAAGTACTACAATTTTTAGTCTTTTGGGTCTTGTGTCTAACAAAGGGTGAGTGTTTCGTCCAATTAGTAAACTCTTTATGATTTTTGTTACATAGTTGTGACAATTACAAGCGATAAAATGTCATGGTTTGCCAAAAATTTAACCCAGAGTGACACAAATGGTATATTCGTTATTCAAGTGCCTGGGGGATTTGATCCCAAAGATGCCAAGTTGGCACTAATTGATCATTGTGAAGATGCAGATCAAGAAGGTTGGTGACAGTGCAGTTTGGTTACTTTGTCATTGTTTTTTGTTTTAGCAGTTGCCACCCTGACGCAAAAACAAGAAATGCCAACCGTACATAATACATAATTTTTGACATTTTTGTGTTTAAATTTTTACTAAATGTTTGTCTAACGGGTGTTTTTTATTGGCGTTGGGGCGACGTGAGAGTACAATCTTGAAAAAAGCAACATTTTATTCAACATCAAAAATTAGGAATAACAATACACATTAAGAAAAACTATTCTAGAATATTAATACATAAAAAATAACACAGCAATGTTGTTTTTTGTTGTTTTTAAGATTACGTTAGGCATAAAAATATCACCGTCTATTTCATTAGGTAAATTAATAACAATGTGGAGTCGTTAAAATTAACAGAAAAATGTACATCGTTACACATAAAAATTGAAGTAATAAACATGATATCATTTCATTCAAAGACTTAGAAATCGAACGCTGAAAGTCCCCCGGATGTCTCTACATGTGGTGAATTTTGAAGATATGTCCGACCTTAATCAAAATAATGGCCCGCAAGGCACACCCTTTAGAACTCGTCCGCCCTTATCACATTTAAATATCAACTTATTTCGAGAAATCAGCCATTATTTGGAAAAAAGTGAAAGAAATAAACCTGATCGTCACCAATCAGTCTTGGCATTTGCATCCCAGAATGAAACGATGGAGTGAGAGAGTGATTCAGATGTTCCAATACTGTAAGACTTTTTCGTTTTTCGACAGGGCGCCGCCGTTGGGCTTGTCGAACGCGAGCGCTATCAGTTTGCTGTGCTTTTTGAGTTCCTTGTCGAAGATGTCGTCGCCGGTGTCGTCGAGGACGCGGCTGAGGTCCCACTCGACGCTCGGCAGCGGGGAGTTGATGAATCTGGCGGCGGTGGCCACGTTGGGGAGGACGTGCTGCTGGAGGGTTTGGATCTCCCAGAGTGAGCTGTTGATCGCGTTGGATTTTAATGGGTCGCGTTCTTCCATTATGTAGGGGTCGGTTGAGGCGCTGCCGCCGGTCGGGTGGTTGAGCAAACACTTGAGACCGGGGTGTCTGAAACAAGCCGTCCCCTGTTATTACAAAATTTTCTGGACAGTAATTTTTTTATCTTGGTTATTTTGAATTTTCAGGTTTATTTCAATTTGGAGCAGTTTCAACGATTTCAAAATTTCCTGGAAAATTAGTTACTTCCATTTTTCCCTTTTTTTAAAGAATTTATTACAAACACGACTTCAGATTCATATAGATGAATTTTCTACACGATGGATTTTTTTCGTTAAATTTGGACCGATTTTTACGATTTCACCAATTTCTGGAAAATTCTTATTATTTGTTAATTTTATAATTTTTTCGAAGATGAATTGTACATATAGATTAGAATTCGTATTCTGCAGACATTTCTCTATGCTACAAAAAAAAAAAAAAATCCGCTGATTGTCCATTTCAGGTGTCAAAAATTTCTGGAAAAGGAACTTTTGTCTTTTTTTTCTCATTCATTTCATAAGTTACAACAAAAGCGACTTCAGATTCGTAATCCACAGGAATTTTCTTCAAAATGGAAATCTTCCCAATCCAATTTGGAGCAATTTTAACGACTGAAACTTTTCTGGAAAATTCGTAATTTTCATTTTTCCGATTTTTTTACAATTTATTATAAAAACGACGTCACAAACACAACTTATGGAGAATTTTATATAATTGGATCAATTTTTTCGATTACACCATTTTCTGGAAAATTGTTATTTATAGTTTTAACTTTTTTTTTTTGAAGATTTATTGTAAATTTTGTCTTTTCCTCATTTATTTGATAAGTTACAACAAATCTACAGGAAATTTTCTTCATAATGGAAATCTTTCAAATCAAGTTGAAACAATTTTTTAACGATTTCAAAATTTTCTGGAAAATTAGTTACTTCCATTTTTCCGTTTTTTTTTTTTTTTAAGAAAACAACAACGACTTCAGATACATAAACGAAGAATTTTCTATACGATGGATTTTTTTCGTTAAATTTGGACCGATTTTTACGATTTCACCAATTTCTGGAAAATTCTTATTATTTGTTAATTTTATAATTTTTTCGAAGATCAATTGTACATATAGATTAGAATTCGTAACCTGCAGACATTTCTCTATGCTACAAAAAAAAAATCCGTTGATTGTCCATTTCAGGTTTCAAAAATTTCTGGAAAAGGAACTTTTGTCTTTTTTTCTCATTTATTTCATAAGTTACAACAAAAACGACTTCAGATTCGTAATCCACAGGAATTTTCTTCAAAATGGAAATCTTTCCAATCCAATTTGGAGCAATTTTAACGACTGAAACTTTTCTGGAAAATTCGTAATTTTCATTTTTCCGATTTTTTTTACAATTTATTATAAAAACGACGTCAGATTCACAACATATGGAGAATTTTATATAATTGGATCAATTTTTTCGATTACACCATTTTCTGGAAAATCCTTATTTATAATTTTAACTTTTTCTTTTTGAAGATTTATTGTAAATTTTATCTTTTCCTCATTTATTTGATAAGTTACAACAAATCCACAGGAAATTTTCTTCATAATGGAAATCTTTTAAATCAAATTGAAACAATTTCAACGATTTCAAAATTTTCTGGAAAATTAGTTACTTCCATTTTTCCGGTTTTTTAAAAAATCTATTACAAAAACGACGTCAGATACATAAACGAAGAATTTTCTATATGATGGATTTTTGTCGTTAAATTTGGACCGATTTTTACGATTTCACCAATTTCTGGAAAATTCTTATTATTTGTCAATTTTATAATTTTGTTGAAGATCAATTGTACATATAGATTAGAATTCGTAATCAGCAGACATTTCTCTATGCTACAAAAAAAAAAAAAAAAAATCCGCTGATTGTCAATTTCAGGTGTCAAAAATTTCTGGAAAAGGAACTTTTGTCTTTTTTTCTCATTTATTTCATAAGTTACAACAAAAACGACTTCAGATTCGTAATCCACAGGAATTTTCTTCAAAATGGAAATCTTTCCGATCCAATTTGGAGCAATTTTAACGACTGAAAATTCGTAATTTTCATTTTTTCGATTTTTTTGACAATTTATTATAAAAACGACGTCAGAAACACAACATATGGAGAATTTTATATAGTTGGATCAATTTTTTCGATTACACCATTTTCTGGAAAATTCTTACTTATAATTTTAACTTTTTTTTTTGAAGATTTATTGTAAATTTTGTCTTTTCCTCATTTATTTGATAAGTTACAACAAATCCACAGGAAATTTTCTTCATAATGGAAATCTTTTAAATCAAATTGAAACAATTTTAACGATTTTAAAATTTTCTGGAAAATTAGTTACTTCTATTTTTCCGTTTTTTTTTTTAAGAAAACAACAACGACTTCAGATACATAAACGAAGAATTTTCTATACGATGGATTTTTGTCGTTAAATTTGGACCGATTTTTACGATTTCACCAATTTCTGGAAAATTCTTATTATTTGTCAATTTTATAATTTTGTCAAAGATCAATTGTACATATAGATTAGAATTCGTAATCAGCAGACATTTCTCTATGCTACAAAAAAAAAAAAATCCGTTGATTGTCCATTTCAAGTTTCAAAAATTTCTGAAAAAGGAACTTTTGTCTTTTTTTCTCATTTATTTCGTAAGTTACAACAAAAGCGACTTCAGATTCGTAATCCACAGGAATTTTCTTCAAAATGGAAATCTTTCCAATCCAATTTGGAGCAATTTTAAGGACTGAAACTTTTCTGGAAAATTCGTAATTTTCATTTTTCGGATTTTTTTGACAATTTATTATAAAAACGACGTCAGATACACAACATATGGAGAATTTTATATAGTTGGATCAATTTTTTCGATTACACCATTTTCTGGAAAATTCTTACTTATAATTTTAACTTTTTTTTTGAAGATTTATTGTAAATTTTGTCTTTTCCTCATTTATTTGATAAGTTACAACAAATCCACAGGAAATTTTCTTCATAATGGAAATCATTTAAATCAAATTGAAACAATTTTAACGATTTCAAAATTTTCTGGAAAATTCATTACATCTATTTTCCGATCATTTTTTGAAGATATGTTACAAAAACGACTTCAGATGCACAACACATGGAGAATTTTCAATACGATGGATTTTTTCCGTTCAATTTGGACGGAGTTTTACTATTTCGCCAATTTCTGGAAATTTTTTATTTGATAATTTTATAATTTTTTTGAAGGTTTATTGTACATATAACTTAGAATTCTTTGCTACAAAAAAATTTTCCGCTGATGATCGTCAATTTCAAGTTTAAAAAATTTTCTGGAAAAAGAAATTTTGTTTTTTTCTCCCATGTATTCAATCAGTTACAACAAAAACGACGTCATATTCGTAATCCACAGGAAATTTTCTTCATAATGGAAATCTTTTAAATCAATTTGGAACAATTTTAACGATTTCAAAATTTTCTGGAAAATTCGTTATTTCCATTTTTCCGGCTAATTTGAAGATCTATACTAAACAGGACTTTAGATACGTAACATACGGAAAATTTTCGATAGGATGGATTTTTTTCCTTAAATTTTGAGCGATTTTTACGATTTCTAAATTTTCCGGAAATTTTTTATTTGCTTAATTTATCACTTATTCGACGGTCTTTTGTAAATACAACTGAGAATTCGTAATCTGCGGGCACTTCTCAATGATACAAAAAAAATTCTCCTCTTATCATCGCCATTTCAGCAGTTTCAAAAATTTTGGAAAAATAACTTGTCTCAAAAAAAATATCAAGATCTACAGCAAAAATAAGCTCAGATTCGTTATCTTTATACTGGAAATTTTTCCAATTCAATTTAGAGCAATTTTAACAACCTCGAAATTTTCTGGAAAATTCGTTATTTCCATTTTTCCGCTTTATTAGAAAATCTATTACAAAAACGACTTCTGATACGCAACAAGCGGAGAATTTTCTATGCGGCGGATTTTTTCCGTTCAATTTTGAGCGATTTTACAATTTCTCCACTGTCTGGAAAATTCTTATTTGAAAAAAATTGTGCACAATTTGGTGGAAGCTTTTCTCACGATATTACCGATTTTCATAATAATGGATTTTCTTTGTTCAATTTGGAGCGATTTTTACGATTTTGCTATTTTATGGAAAATTTTTATTTGTCAATTTTTTTTCTGGCAAGATTGTCATTTTGGATTTTCCGATATATTTCAAGACCTATAGCAAAATGTAAAGAAAGAGCGATTTCAGATTCGTTATCCACGGGAAATTTTCTTTATAATGGCAATTTTTCTAGTTCAATTTGGAGCAGTTTTAAAGATTTTAAAATTTTCTGGAAAATTCACTATTTCCATTTTTTCACTTTAATTGAAAATCGACTCCAGATACGAAATATACGGAAAAATTTCGATACGATTGACTTTTTTTCTATTCAATTTTTGAGCGATTTTTATGATTTCTCCATTTTCTGGAAAATTCTTATTTGTTAAATTTAACATTTATTTAAAAATCCATTGCAAATACAACTTAGAATTAGTAATCGGGGGACATTTTTCTGATACGAAAATTTTTCTCCGCTCACCATCGCCAATTTCAACAGTATAATTTAAAAAAAAAAAAGAAATCTGGAAAAATCATCATTTTGGATTTTCCGATTTATTTCAAGATTTTCAGCAATAACTATTTCAGATTCGTAATCCACGGGAAATTTGTCTGTAATAAAAATTGTTTTCAGTTCAATTTGGAGCAACTTCAACGATTTCAAAATTTTCTGGAAAATTCGTTATTTCCATTTCTTCGGTTAAATTGAAGATCTATTAAAAAAAAAAAACGACTTCACGGAGAATTTTCTATGCCATGCACTTTTTTCTGTTCAATCTGGAGCGATTTTTACGATTTCGCCATTTTCTGGAAAAATTTTATTTGTCAATTTTTTTGAAAGTCCATTGTAAATACAACTTAGAATTCGCAAATTCGTAATCTGAGGACATTTTTCTACGCTACAAAAATTTTTCTAGCTCATCGTTGCCAATTCCAGCCAATTTCAACAGTTTCAAAAAATTTCTGGAAAAAACATATTTTGCTTTTTTTTTCTCATTTACTTGAGGAGTTGCAACAAAAATTGACTTCGAAAAAAATTATACAAGATTTGATGGAAGCTTTTCTCACGATATTACCGATTTGTATAATTTAAAAAAAAATCTGGAAAAATCGTAATTTTGGATTTTCCGATTTATTTCAAGATTAATAGCAATAACTATTTCAGATTCGTAATCCACGGAAAATTTGTTTGGAATGAAAATTTTTTCAGTTCAATTTGGAGCAACTTCAACGATTTGAAATTTTTTGGAAAATTCGTTATTTCCATTTTTCGGTTAAATTGAAGACCTATTAAAAAAAAAAACGACTTCACGGAGAATTTTCTATGCCATGCTTTTTTTTCGTTCAATCTGGAGCGATTTTTACGATTTCGCCATTTTCTGGAAAAATTTTATTTGTAAATTTTTTTGAAACTCTATTGTAAATACAACTTAGATATCGCAAATTCGTAATCCGAGGACATTTTTCTATGCTCCAAAAATTTTTCTAGCTCACCGTTGCCAATTCCAGCCAATTTCATCAGTTTCAAAAAATTTCTGGAAAGGCAAATTTTGTTTTTTTTTTCTCATTTACTTGAGGAGTTACAACAAAAATTGACTTCGAAAAAAATCACACAAAATTTGATGGAAACTTTTCTCACGATATTACCGATTTTTATAATTAAAAAAAAAAGTAATCTGGAAAAATCATCATTTTGGATTTTCCGATTTATTTCAAGATTTATAGCAATAACTATTTCAGATTCGTTATCCAAAGGAAATTTGTTTGTAATGAAAATTTTTTTCAGTTCAATTTGGAGCAACTTCAACGATTTCAAAATTTTTTGGAAAATTCGTTATTTCCATTTTTTCAGTTAAATTGAAGATCTATTAAAAAAACGACTTCACGGAGAATTTTCTATGCCATGCATTTTTTTTTTCGTTCAATCTGGAGCGATTTTTACGATTTCGCCTTTTTCTGGAAAAATTTTATTTATCAATTTTTTTGAAAGTCCATTGTAAATACAACTCAGAATTCGCAAATTCGTAATCTGAGGATATTTTTCTATGCTACAAAAAATTTTCCCACTCATCGCCAATTTCGTATTTCAAAAATTTCTGGAAAAGTAAATTTTGTCTTTTTTCTCATTTATTTATTTTATTAGATACATAATTGACGGAAAATTTTCAGTTCAATTTCGAGCAATTTTAACGATTTAAAAATTTTCTGGAAAATTTTTATTTGTCAATTTTATCATTTATGTGAAAATCTATTATAAATAAAACTTAAACATCTTACAACACAATCTATTCCAGTTCAATCAAACAATTAAAAAATTAATATTTGCATTTTTCTCGTTTAGTTGAACATTCACAAACAACTTCCAACTCGCAATCGCCAGCAGCGGATTTAACGATTACGCCATCCGTTGCCACGTTCTCGCCAACGACCTTGATCCTCCCCAATTAACTACGTCTTATTAAACCTAGCTAAACTCCATAAAAATAATTCATCCACAAACCAACTTTCAAAAATCAAGGATTTCTCGCCCCAAATTTTCACCCCTCTAAACTCACCTCAAAATTAAATTTCCTATGAACATACAAATGATCACGACGTCCTCCGAGGGGGCTATCAGGGCCAGTCTCGCCAACCTCTTGGCAAAAGCTGCGACTAAATTCTCCGGTAAATGCGTCGAGCTCAAAAACAAATCCGACAAATAAAAAAGCCGGGCCTTGTACTTCGTGTGGAATATTTCCGGCTCGAACATGGAATACAATTTGGCAAATATGTTTGGGTAGTTGAGATTGTGGACCTGGATCATGGTGAAAATCCCCTGCAGCGCCAATAAACTAACGGGCCCCCCTATATCCAAAGAGTCCATCAGGAAATCGGTCAAAAGGAGAGGTTTTTCTAAGTGGGGCAGAACGCGCTCGAGGAGCACGATAAGCAGCTGCTTGTGCGTCTGCGGGGTGTGCTCCCACAGCATGACGCAGTGCCAGATTTTATTGAGGGCACGCGTGGTGGCCGCCTCGTCGAACGTGAAGAATTCACCTGAATGCAAACATTAATCAACGGACACAAGGGGGCGCTTTGTTACCGTTGTTGCTGCCGCAGAGGAATTGGGGCTCGGGGTGCTGCTTCAGCTGGAGTTTCTCCAACAGGAGGAGATAGTTCACGATGTAGAGCTCGTTGGGGTTGGTTTTGGCGGTTAGAGACGGCAGCAGCTTCCACGTGAAAAACAAAATGTCATTGTAAAGTAGATACTCGGTGTATTTGTTGATAAGTTGGCTGTTGTTGTGTTTGTTGGAGAGGAGTTTCATCAGAACTAGTTTGAGCCGGTTTAGGGGGACGTACGACTCGAGGCTTCCTTTCGCTTCTAAGGGGCATTTTCCTTCGTGCGATAGAATGTTCATGGCAGTAGACAAACCTGGAACTCGTTTTTGAACTATCAGAGGTCTGGCTCGTGTGGCTTACCCTGAATTTGTATTTTATGCGAGTCGCTCTCTAAGCATTCCGATATTCTAGCAAAGCAGCCTTCGTACACGTTCCTCAGCCACTCCTTGTACTGGTTGATTTCGGTCTTTTCCACTGGCTTGAGGGGCACCACTTCTATGTACATGCTTCTGTCTTTTAGCAGGTTGGTGAAAATTAATTCCAATGTAAGTAAACATGATGACAAGTCCGCACCCGATTCGAAATGACGTACTATGTCGAGCAAATTTTCCGTATTTTTGCGAGATGAGAGGAATTCTTGGGCTTTTAAACGTAACTGTTTCGATATTTTCACTGGTTTTTCTTGATGGGACATTTTCCAGCTGACTGTGGCAGCAGAAATTGATCACAGACTTTTCCGACAAGTGAGGTTATGTTGGAAAGGGCAGGGGGATGCTAGTGTTGGGTTGGCAATGGCGGCGTGTCACAGCTGTCACACAAAACGAATAAATAAAAAACGGACTTTTAATTCTTCTTTTACACCAATATAGACTATACAGACTTTACAACCCTACTTTACATAATTCTAAAAAGTGAATTTACGTTATAAACAAATTTGAGTATTTTTGCCTATGCAACCCACAATGCACCACGTGGTATCATCAGTACCGCGAAGTTCATGCAAAATATCAGTACGAGGTTGAAAATTGTATCTATAAATATGCTTATACATGTTGTATTAATTTATAAAGGCCACCGTGTGGTCAGAAATTTTCTGAGTTGCAATACGCCATAACGTATGCCGTGTGGTTGGTACTGAATTTTTTCCACACACCGTCTGTGACTCACTTAGGCTAAACCCGCAAAAATTTCATAAAACTAAACACTACGAAATGTAATTACGATGATTTGCATTATTATGTTCATGGTCAGCGATAATACCACAAACCCAGCCACATACCGTGCGCACGTGCGATTTAAAAACAGACGCGATTTTATTACAAAAAAAACAATACTATAAGCACTTGCTGACTGGAAATCGTCAATAACCTAATTTTAACACTCGCGACTGTCTAAAAATAAAGATTTATTGAAAGTTTATTCAATCGTGAAGTGGCTTAGCCGGATATAAGTCATGTCGACTTATTTGTTGTTTTTGGTAATTTTTGCGTCTGCCGTTTCAGTTTTACGTGGTAAGTTTTTGCAGACTTGTTATCAGTTCTTATCAAGTATTTACAGCCACGAGGGACATTCCGGGTCGTGTCGCATTGGATAATTTCCCTTTGATCGATGGGTGAGTCCATTTTAACAAAACTAGTATAAAAAATAGGTATTTTAGCCACAACGACTTGGCTTATAATTTGTACAACAAATTGCACAACCAAATCTACAATTTCTCCTTCCATAAGGACTTAAGTCAGGATTCTTTGTTCGGTTCTGACTCTTGTAAATCTTGCAATACCGACTTAGTCAGAATAAAAAAAGGCAAACTGGGAGCACAAGTACGTTCAACTTTTATATTGACTAATAAATTTAACTAAATTGTATCAGTTTTGGTCAGCGTTTGTGGACTGTGGTCCCCACCAGGATGCTATAGTCTCCAAAAGCTTCGAACAGGTGGACGTAATTAAAAGACTGATTGATAAATACCCACAAGATATGGAATTTGTAACCACCGCTGACGGTAAATAATATCACACTAAATCAGTTGGTACCACTAGTACTTTTAGGGATCGAAGACGCGTTCTTGCGTAAGCGATTGGCAAGCCTGATCGGTCTCGAAGGGGGGCATTCCATCGATAACAAACTGGCTTTACTGAGACAGTTCTACCAACTTGGTGCGCGCTACATGACGCTAACTCAGTCCTGTAGTCTCCCTTGGTTTCTTTTTATATTTAGTTTTAGCGTTTGTATCACCGAATTTTTTTTAGGGCTGATGCGTCTCCTGTGGATTCACAACCAGAAGCTAACAAGGTCGATTTAACTAACTTTGGAAAGGTTAAGCATTTTTGTACATTTCTCATACAATACTGTAAACACGTTGTAGAAAATTGTCCTAGAAATGAATCGTCTGGGCATGATGGTAGATTTGTCCCATGTGTCCCACAATGTCATGGTTCAAGCTATTGACACATCAAGGGCTCCGGTCATTTTTTCACATTCGTCTGCATACAGTGTGTTTCCTCACCATCGCAACGTCAAAGATGACGTCATACTAAAAATAGTACGTTGCAAAAACACAAATATAATTACTTTATTTTGTGTTGTAGAAACAAAATGGTGGGATTATTATGGTGAATTTTTATAGCGCGTTTCTGGGAGAGCGTCACGTCACCATAAAAGATGTCGCTAGTGAGTTGGTTTATTTGTTTATTGCAATCATAATTTTTTCTTAGGGCATATTAACCACATTGTTGACGTTGCTGGGGTTGACTATGTGGGTATCGGATCGGATTTCGATGGTGTAGACAGTTTCCCTAAAGGTTTGGAAGATGTTTCAAAATATCCAGATTTGTTTGATTTGTTAAGAGAGAAGAATCAAACTAGATGGACTATAGAGAATTTGGAAAAGTTAGCTGGGAGGAATTTATACCGAGTATTCAAAAAAGTGGAAGAGGTGCTTATGGTACATTTTCGTGCACTCGATTGTTACTAGGGTTTATTATTGTAGGTCAGAGACACACTGTTGCATGAAAGACCCGACGAAAGCTTAATTCCTGATGAAGACTTGGCTAGAGCAGCCGGATCTGTAAAAAAATACTCAAAACTTTTGACTTTTATCACAGTTGTAGTAATGTATACATTAAGAGTGTGAATGTAAATAAATACAACACGTACGCGTATGGCTACCTTTATTTTAAAATTATCCTTGTCGGTGTATGCTTTTCTGCAATTCAAGCGAGACACCGTTAAAATTAAAATTCAAAAATTCCGTTTTGTTGATTAGAATGCTTATCACTATCCATTATCCACAGCGTTCGTTAAAATTGCGATAACCGATCGTGACATTTTAAAAATCCGCAGGGATTTTCGTTTTCTCCCTGTTGATTGTTGTCACTCACGCGCGCCATCTTTAGGCCGATTTTCGTAAACAGCCACGTCACTGAAACACTGGGTGTCAGGTCGTGTGTACAATACAAAAATTACCTGAAAAATGAATATATTCCGGTTAACAGGCGATTTGGCCCATCTTCTAGCCATTATAATTCTCCTTATCAAAATATGGAAGACACGGTCGTGCGCTGGTGAGTAACTAACCCATAACACCCATTACCGGTTATCAAAACCATGTCACAACAAGCAATTAAGCCGTTTTCGTCAATATTAGACCCACAATCGCTAGTAACCACCACGAATCCGTAAAAATTACCCGATTTGAGTAATTGTTTACGTCATCATAACCTTAAAGTGGTGGTGTAATTGTAGGTATTTCGGGCAAGAGCCAGATCTTATTCGCCATAGTATACACCACCAGATACCTAGATTTGGTGACGACGTTCGTCTCGGCGTACAACACTCTCATGAAGATATTCTTCCTGGCTTCGTCCTATGCCACCATCTATTTAATCTACATCAAGTTTAAAGCCACTTATGACCACAATCATGACACCTTCCGGATCGAGTTCTTGGTGCTGCCGGCGTTCATTCTGGCTCTATTGATTAATCACGCCTTTACGTTGCTCGAGGTAGGTGAACTAATTGACGGAAATTTGAATTTTATCAAATGTCATTGAAAATGTCATTGAGCAAGGCTCACTATGTTTTATCTGATTGAACTATAAAGTCTGTGTTTACAAAGTTGGCAAGTTGGCATGACTGAATTTACGAGGTTTTAGGTTTTGTGGACATTTAGTATTTATTTGGAGTCGGTGGCTATTTTGCCGCAGCTTTTCATGGTTAGCAAGACTGGAGAGGCCGAAAGTATTACTTCCCACTACTTGTTCGCGCTAGGGTCATACCGGGCTCTTTACATTTTGAACTGGGTTTACCGCTACGTCACCGAGACGCACTATGATTTGATCGCCATCGTCGCTGGAATTGTACAGACTGTGCTGTACTGTGACTTTTTCTATTTATATGTGACTAAAGGTGAGTTTGGCGCTCGATACTGAGTTTTACTAATTTTTTTTTTCCAGTCCTCAAAGGTAAAAAATTGCAGTTGCCTGCTTAAGGTAATTTTTTTTGTACAAACTGTTTACTTTTTGCAAACGAATAGTTGTATTATTTTCCTGAAATAAATATTATTTAAGTGAGTTTCTCCCAACCATTTTTTTCTTCTGATGTTGTGCATGATTCAATACCGTGAGGTCCTGTGATTTTTATAGTGCTTAAAATTTATTTTTATTGAATGGTAATACAACTGTATGAAAGTGTCTATTTTCTTATTTTAACAATAAGTTAGTGTCGATTACCAAAAATTTTACAATAGTTGCTCATGTATTTAAATTTTTGTATTTTATTATGGTAGACTAGCTCGATGCCAAGTTTTAAATGTAATTTTATTTAATAAATTTAATTCAAATGTTGTGTTATTATTAAGTTTAACTTGTTCACGTGTGTTCAGAGTTTTGTATTTTCACTCTAACCTTCAAGGTCTAAAAAGAATATGAAACTAATAAACAATAAACAACTAGTGGTGTTTTATTTATTCACTTATTAAAGTTTTTAAATTTTATTACGTCACTAAAACACAACCAGTGTGCAGCCATCTATGTTTTCTACGTCTTTGATTTCGCCGCCAAAGCATACGTCAACTGTCATTTCTGTCAACATAAAAACCCAACCTCACTTTCGCCTTTTTGTTGAAGATTTTTGCATGCTTGTTTAACGGTTTCTTTTAATGTTTGGTAAGTACTTTCGCCAAAAGTGCACCCGATTTGACTTATTTTAATCGCTTGCATCCGCTTTTGCTTAAATCAGTGGTTTCCAAACAATATTATCCGAATTCAGCTTTGGTTATTTTAGGGTTTTCAAAAGCGATGAACACAGCTTATTTGTTTATCAAAGACGTGCTGTCTAGTCAACGCACAGGAAACGACTTCGTACACAAAAGCGTAACGTTTAAAAATATCGAATTTTGTGGAACCATCACCCATCTAGAGTCTGTTCAAAACCCGGATAATTCGGAATTTTTTATTTACACTGTCGACGATGGCACAGGTTGTATTCGTTGTGTCATACCTGTAGTAGCCTCCAGTGAAGACTTTGGGGGTTTTACTCCAGCAGAAACCAACTTTTTTGCAAAACTACGATCAAAAAACAGTCGTTCGTTTAAAAGCCCCCAGAACCAAACCATTCAGTTGTGTGCTCTCGCATTCGACAATCTAAAACGTTTTGATTATAGAGCTTTACAAGTAGGTGACGAAGTTCGTTTTGGCGGTACTATAAAAGAAGAGAAAACCCTAAAATACGTCTTAGTTGAAAAAGTGGAAAAAATTGCGAAAATCACCCAAAAAATCGACTATTTTAACGAATTGTTCGACTTCTACAAGCTAACAGAGCGCTGTTTCAGTCTCCATGATGGAGCCGAGCAGCGATTACCTCAACGAGATCACCACAGTGTCTAAAGTCTTGGAAGAAGAAGAAGCCATGTTTGAGTCAATGAACGCCGAATTAGACAAACAAGTCGAAAAAGACATGGAAGAAATCCAAACTTACGTCATCCCGGACTCCCCTGGCCCCGAAACCCCCGTCGACCCCGACCTAGACCAAGAAGAAAAAGATTTCCAGTCGATGAACGCTCAACTCGACAAACAAATCGCGCAAGACATGGAAGCCATCAGGAACTACATTGACAAAACCGAATCCGATTCGTTCGCTGACAGAATCGAATTCTTCAACAGTATGGACAGCTCGCTCATTAATAACTGCTTCGATAAGAACGTTACGAATCACATTTTGTACCAGCACACGGTTTTGGGCACGATTATGTGGCACGAATGCAACATGTGTGATTACAGAGCGAAGGAGAAGGACAAGTTGCAGGAACACATGGTGGCGAAGCATTCAACCAACGACGGGCTGTTTGGGTGTCAGGAGTGTTCGTACAAGGGGAAGACGCATAGTGATTTGATGAGGCACAAGAAGCTGGGGCACCGATTGCACGCGTCGCAGCATCAGTGTGACAAGTGTGGACTCAGTTTTAGTAAACATTATGGGTTGCTGAGGCACATGAAGGAGGAGCATGAAGTAGCGGCGTTTCCGTGCCAGAAGTGCGATTTTATCAGTGTGGAAGAGAGTGATTTGAGGCAGCACGTTCTAGCTGAACATTTGAAGTTGAATATAAGTTGGTACAAGTGTGCGCAGTGTGTGTATCGAACGGCCAAGAAGGTTAATTTGGACAGGCATATTATGTATAAGCATTCTGTGTTTTAGATTTAAGGTTAAGCCATATTTCTACATTGCACTTTTGATGTTTTTGTGCTTTATGAATAAAGAAAGATAGAAAAAGGGGTGGTTTTATTGGGGTTAATTGGGTTTTGAATCGAAGGTGGTGATGAGAATTTGAACTTGACAGCAGGGATTGACAGTTGAGAGAAAATTTTTGTGTTGGCAAATTTGAATTATTGGCAGCAATGTTAATATGTCAGCTCATACTTGTCAAATTTGACAGGAACGCGCCGTACAAACGTGATAAGAAGATTACTAACTTGGTCCTCTAAATTTCATTTTGACGATCAGGCCTGATATAAAATACAAAATGTGTTTTAAATATATTGCCAACCTGAGAAAAAAACGGAATAACTAGCAGTCACTCGGTATTTTTGCAATTTTTTTGTGTTGGCAACTATGAATTGTTGGCAGCAATGTTAAGATATGAGTTTGAAGTTGTCAACTTTGCAAGAGGGCGCCTAACGCGTCAAAAGTGGGATTTATAAACTTGCTGTTGACGTTGAAGTTCCCGCCAACGTTGCTTTTAGAGCTGAAAATTGTCATTTATAAATTTCGTTGGCAAGCTGCCGTTGATAGTAACTTTGATGTTCAATGCAAAAGTTGCCCTATTTCAAGGGATTGTACAAGAAAAGTGGCGGAGTTAAGTTGATTACTATAAAAATTTACCATTTTAGGCATGTTCTAAGTTTCTTATGGTCTAAATAAGTCTACACATATTAAGAAAAGAAGGCACAATAAAAGCCCCGCCCACCCACCCTGTCTCAATTGTGATGATTCTTTTGTTATTCGTCGTGAGCCAAAAAGGCGGAGCCTAATTGCTAAATCCATATTTCCTTATAAAAATTTACCATTTTAAATGTGTTTTACGTTTCTGAGCATAAAAAAATCATCACAAACGAGACGGGGTGGGCGGGCGGGGTTTATATATTTCCTTTTTTTTAATACACTGTAGTAAGCCGTTTCGAACCAAATTCCCGCGCGCCAAACTTTTGGTAAGAAAAGGGATGGGAATGGAAAGAAACGAAAATCACTAAGAGGGAGATGCGCAGAAGGGTGTGTTTGAGCAGGGGAGTTGCGGCATTATTGACTTGGTCTTTCTTTCGAGTAAGACGTCAAGGTGGTGCTCTCTGCGTTTCCCAAGTGTCTGTGCGTTTTGTTTCCGTTTTCAGTGGTGATTCCTGTCCACGGAGTTCCATCCCCCTGACGAACCAGCGAACGTAAGATTTCTCTGCTCCATTTCGAACAGAGAGAGGCCTTATTTCGGTGGTGAACACGTGTTTGGTTTGGAGATCCAAGAGGTATGTCTTCCACGTGATTCCGTGTGTGCTGGTGGAAGAAGCGGTGTTGCTTCTCGATGGTTACGGAGTAGGTGAGACGCGGGAACCACACCTGTGAGCTTCGCGGGTGTCACATACGCGAACGGACGCTACAGAAATGGCGGCACTTCCGGATGACGCCGTGGCCGTAAATTTTCGTACTAATCTTTTCAACATAATTTCAATCCGTTTTAGTAGGGCTTTTCAGGGAATTACGTTAGCTAGGGCAGTTTTATTTAGCGAATGTTATGCGGAAAGTTGGATGGCAATTTTCGAGGTATTATTTTGCGTTGCATAATTTCTGCACGTGTGAGTAATGTAAATTCAAACATAATCTGAACAAGTGAATTTTTAACAAAATTAACGCTGAGAACGGCATTCGAAAATTAATAATGTCAGAGTCTGGGGGACGGGGGATTTCTTTGTGTTAGTAACATCAATTAATTAGTCACATCAATTTGGCTGACATTATAAGATCTAAGATATTTGAATGGCTTTTCCTCGATTTATTATCCGGTTGTTGTAAACTCTAATGCTGGAAAATTTCATGTAGTTTTCAAATATTCAGCCGTTCAAAATAGAAAGAGAAAGTGGTAAGGTGCAGGTACGGGGTGTTGACCGGGGAATTTCAAGGGCAACCTTTGTGAACTTTTGTATTAGTCATTGGGGATTTGTTGTTGACCGAAAACTGTTGATGAATTTGAAAATGAATGTTATTGAAAGAAAGGTACAATTCAAATCGAATGTGCACCTACGATTACCTATATTTTATTTATTTTGCATATTTTATGTGTCGCATTTTTATGTGTTGTTCTGTTTATTTCGTATGTGTTTTTATTTATGTGTCTTTTGTTTGGGGATGTGTTGAAGGGAGGGGGGTTTGTTTGTTTAATTCGGTCAACAACGTAACTTTGCCCAGATCATTTTAATGCAGTCGTAACTTCGTTGTTTAATGTCAGATAAATATTTCATTAAAATCATTGCCAAAATGTGAATAATTTAATCTCTTTCAAAAATTCTTGTTCTTTAAAGTTATTGATAAAAACATGAATAATTTCTCACTTCATTTTCTTTATTGCATAAGATTGTTGATCACACGTGCATAATTTAATCTCATTTCAATTTCTTTGTTATTTAAAACAAGTGTTGATGGAGTGTGGCCAATTAAATTACGCTTATTGCTTGTCTGAAATCCAAATACTCATTCTGATAACGCTAGTTAACTCGGGGGTCGTGTGGCGTGGACGCGGTGGCGTCGGCGTCTCCGTGCGAGTGTCTGCGGGTCTTGCTAGACTTCCGGCCCTAGCGGACTCGGAGTTTACACAGCTACTTGGACGCGGGAAACAGGAAGGTCAACCTATGTCAGGTGGGTGCGTAAGACCACGCACGTGAAGTGGTGAGGTAGGACTATGTGGACCTTCACGGGGAGTGTGGCCGTCGCCCTGCACCCGCTGTGCGTCCCCCCCCCCCCATTTTGTTTGTAGAGGCCACACTACCATAATATCTGGAACGTTGCCATCCATTTACTTTCTGAGAATTCCGCGACTTTTTATTTTGCTTTTTTTTTTGTTGTACTTGTAAGGTTGCTAATATTTATTCTATGTTCTCAGGTTCGAGTGAAAATAAAGGTTTTTTTTTTTCTCTGAGGAATAAATTCTTTAAGCTCTTCTGGGGCCCTTGGCCAAGGTCTCTTGAGCTCTTATTGGATTTATTTTTCATAGTTTTTTTTTTTCCAAATATAAGTTTTTTAAATCCCCCCGCTCCGCAGTGCGCCAATTTGTATGAACGAACGCCTCCCGCCAGTTTTCAAAACACAATGTAGGGTCCCACTTTTGTAGACGATCACAGCCAAGGTCAGACTTTAAATTTTAGCGGGCTTTTTCAAATTTTGTTCAATGTCAAATAAAAGGCGGGAGGTTTGGGTTATTACAACACATAGTATTCTTCGAACAACACGACACTCAAAAACATGTTTTTAATTTTTTGTAAAGAAATAAGTATTTTGCAGTTAAGCTCAGCCCTCTTATTTCATGACGAATAAAAAAAATCATCACAATTGAGATAGGGCGGGTGGGCGGGCTTACTTTTTGCCTTTTTGTTTTAATTTGTGTAGACTGCTTTTCACAACATGAAACTTAAAACATGTTTAAAATGGAAAATTTTGTGTACCCTTTTAACCATGTTTTAAGTTTCTCGTTGTGAAAAGATGACTATGTATGATAAGAAAAAAAGCAAAAATATAAGCCCCGCCCACCCACACTAGTTCAATTCTGATGATTTTTTTATTCGTCGTGAGCCAAGAAGACGGAGCTTAACTGCAAAATACTTATTTCTTTATCACCCTTATTGACACTGGAGTCCGCAAGCGCCGTATTTAAAGAGATTGTACAAGAAAAGTGGAGTACTTTAGTTGATTACTACAAAAATTTACGATTTTAGACATTTTTTAAGTTTCTTGTTGTCAAGATAGTCTACACATATTAAAAAAAAAGGTAAAATATAAGCCCCGCCCACCCACCCTATCTCAATTGTGATGATTTTTTTATTCGTCGTGGGCCAAGAAGGTGGAACTTAACTGCAAAATCCTCATTTCCTTACGAGAAATTAAAAATATATGTATTAAAGCCAAAGATTAAGCCCCACCCATACCTGCCTTGATCTAAATAGTAATGAAGTTTGCATTGGTTGGCAGACCTAGGGGCGGAGCCTAATTCCAAAATCCATATTTCCTTTATTAATGTATGTACCATTTTAAACGTGTTTTAAGTTTTCATGAATAAAAAAATCATTACAATTGAGACTGGGTGGGTGGGCGGGGTTTATATTTTGCCTTTTTTTCTTAATATACATAGTATTTTTGAACAAGACGATACTCAAAACCATGTTTTTAATTTCTTGTAAAGAAATAAGTATTTTGCAGTTAAGCTCCGCTCGCTTGGTTCACGGCGAATAAAAAAAATTGTCACAATTGAGATCGGGCGGGTGGGCGGGCTTACATTTTGGCTTTTTGTTTATTACAACAAAAAGGCAAAATGTACACAGAAATAAGTCAACACATTATTAATGTGTAGTGTGGTGACCGAATTTGAATTAAATAAAATAATAAAAAAATCCAATCAAAAAAATCATTAAACATAGGCAACCATGTGCACGTTAACGCTCTTTGGGTAGTTGGTAACTCGCTAGGGGATTCTAATTAGAAGGTTGCTTAGAAGAAGGCGGTTTTGGTAGAAAATGGCGGTTTGGTAGAGAGGTGAAAGTGTCATTGTTGTTTTAATTTCGTGAGTGAGAGCATGGTGTAACAACGTGGTGAGTTAGCTTGGTTAGTTTAGTTGGCTTGGTAGTTAATAAAAGGAAGGAAGCCTATGTTTAATAACAATTAATCGTAACGATCACGCCACAGTTTTCCCGAACACGCGCAGCTAATTCTTGCGGCTTTTTTTCGGAAAAGTTGTTGATTCATTGTTTGTAAATTCACAATTCATGTTAGAATTTTAATCGTTAACTGGTGCTAACACAATTTAATAGACATTGGATTTTTTTTAGATAAAAACTTGCTAGGAGATTTCATGAAATCTATTTAGTCAGGACTCAGTCGTTTGTTTCTCAGGTTATAAATAAGTTTCTGGATGCATATACTTAAGTGTTACATTATAACACTTCTTAATTTCTCACACAAGATCGCTAATAGTTCATTAACGGCAGTTAAATGAATCTAGCGTTGCCCCACTCTGGGAAAAGACCGTAAAAGTAAAAAGCGGAACTCATAATATCGTGAACTGGCGAGGGATTAAAATAATGTCTTCCCTTAGGCAGTTATCATCGAGGCATTTCCTCGCAACGTTAACGATTATTAATCTTTGCTAGTTTATTTTTATGTAAATATTTTGTTGACGAATGTTTCCATCATATAAATTATCTGATGTCCAATCATATTCTCAAATAAAAATTATTTGTTGTTTAAAATTTCACGAGATTGTATGGCGAATTTAAATGTTGTTTATTGCTCTTTTGAAACTTTAACACCTGTTCAGTTGTCGTTAATATCAGTCATAGAAATCGAACACATAAAATGGAATTGAGGTTAAATAACACAGAAAACGTGGCAGAAGCGGAGTACGCGGTTCCTAGTCGAGTTAACGGGATTTATCACGCCACCTGCACAAATGATGCAGGTTAGAATAGAATTCAGGGGCGGTCGAGATGACGTAACGGCTTGTCCGTAACAGAGAATTGCTTTGCGGCAGGCTTGCGATAGATAGAATCACCGTCGCTGGGGAAAACAGCCCCGACCGGGAGCCCCAAACTCCGCTTGTGCTTGGGTATTTTTGTTGTGCTCTTGTTAACTGCCATAATTTTAAATTTGACGCCACACACCCGTAATAACTTGTGTATTTCCATCCAGTTACTTTAATTCAGATTTTACTTTGTTTTTATTAAATTTGAATTTTTTTAAATATTCAGATATTTGTATTGATTCAAAAACATATGTGTAGGGTTTTGTGTTTGTTCGGTTCTCATATGTGCATTTGCGGTTGTCTTTTCTGTCATGTTTTTCTGTGTTTCATTTGTATAACACCCTAGGGGGTTTTTGGAGCTGAAAAGCGATTGCGAAATTTTACGCAGTGTATGCTCACTTGTATGAAAGAACGTCTTCCCGCCATTTTTCAAAAAAAAAAAAAACATCGTAGCACAGTCATACTCTGTCAATTGAAAATAAATAGGGCCGACTTCAGGATCAATAAAACCAGCCTGTGTATGCACAATAACCACTTTTTTTACATTTTTCATAATAAAATTTATTAACCTCTACCTACATACATCGATCAACAAAATCTCAATTACGAGCTTTCACTTCTTCCACAGCCGCCAAGTGCTCGGCCTTGGCCTTAGCCACCTCCGGGGTATCGGCGGGAGCGACTGGCGCGTTGACGACGAAAGACGGCGACAACCAGGGGGCGGCGTACGCAAGACTAGGGATACTAGGATAAGCGTAGGTACCGTAGGTACTAACGATGGGGGAGCTGATGCCGTAGGCGTACGTCTGAAGAGCGGGAACGATGGGGGCGGCGGAAACCACCGAGGTGGTGACTGAGACAGGCTCGGCCGCCTTCACCTTGGCTTCTTCCAGCGCCGCCAAGTGCTTTGCCTTTTCGGCGGCGACTTCGGGGGTGTCTTGCACCGGAATGGGTTGAGGGAGGGGTTCAACCTACAACAAAGCGCCAATGTGACACTAAAACAACAATAATAGTAGCTACAAACCTTGGGTGCTGGTGGCGCTACTGGCAAATTGGTGGCGGCGACTCTGAACCCGTTGGCGGAGTCAGAGGTATACTGGACACTCTGGAGCTTTCCTTCCGCGTCCACGTAGGTGTAGCCGCCCCTGGTGATGCCGTCCACCGACTTGACTTCGGCTTTGGACGAAAGTCCGTTGATGTAGCCGTAGTTGTACTGGCCGAGGGTGTCCTGCGCGTGGTACTGGCTGGAGACGGCGATGGGGGCGGCGAAGGGGACGGTGTAGGCGACGGGGGCGATGATGCCGCCGTAGGCGGTGGCCAACACTGCGGCGAGGATTACGAATTTCATCTTAGCGCTACTGGTTTCAGCACTCGCTAAACTGTGACGGCTTGGTGTGGGGAGGATGGTTATATATGGGGGCCACGCCTAAGGGCCACCTTTGATAAACTTGTCGACTTTGAAATTTATTCTTGCAGACGCATTATTTGGTGATTTTTTCAGACAAGGTCGTCTGTACGGCGCTGGACCAGAAGAGGCTTCGGGCTCGCGGGATGGGGTTTCAGGGATTATTTGCTTTGGCGAGTGTAAGTACTGGTTTTTGTACGCAAAATTCGAGTGGTTGGTTTTGAGCCATAATTAACAAAAATGTTAACTGCGCCGACGATGGGGTATTGAACTGTCGTGTTTATTATTTTTTTTTGCGTAATTTAGAGGTCGGGTCTAATTCGCGTTTTCCCACGATTAATTAATTATGCGGGTGACAAATTATTGAATGCTAATTTTTTCTCTTCAATGAAAACCGGTAAATAAGAAACTATTGATTTATGAAAATGTTTATTTCGCAGATAGTAATGTTCGTTTTTAGTAATATTTTATTTCAGTTTTATGTGTTTTTAATTCTGGCAAGCGTTTGAAATGGCTTAGTAGGTGATCTGCATTTTTAGTGCTCCACCTAAGCCGGTACCGTAAATGTCACCTAAATTTGTTTACGGATGGCCGTTGTGGAGGAAACCGTTGCTCTATTTTTTATTTGCAAGTAAAATAGGTTAAATGCAATATATTTATGCAGGAATTTAGGAAGCCCAAATCAAGACTTTACATAAAACCATGAAAAATGCACTAAAGATTAAAGTGCAACAGTTCGAACTACCGGCATTGTAAGCGTATGACATTTTACGCAATTTTCATACGTAAAGGCGAAGTTATTGTTTGTTTACGTTTGCGTGGGAGGGTTACGTAATACTTGATTTATTGATGCGACATACACGCCTTTATATGTATATCCAGGCGTACAACAATTGGCACATTGCATAATTTAACATTTTAGTATGAGAAAATAAACACATTTAAACCATATTTATGTTTGCCAGAAAAAGTTGGTATTTTTGTTTTTATTTTATAGTGACCAAGACCATAGATTGTAAATATGTCAAGTTGGCTTTGAAACTCCGTGAGTTTTGCCGCTTCGTTGTCATGTTGGATGACTTTATGTCACCTGTCACAAACGTCAGTTATTAACCTCACTTTTACACATATTGATGCAATGCATTACAATTTGAGACATCCAGTATATTGTATTTATGTTGAAATGGCACATTTTAATGAGTTCGGGTGACCAAAAATCGATTCTTTTGTTTTAATACTTGACCCGGTAAGTTTGAAAAATCTTGTTTGTATTTGAAAACTGGGCGTACCAGAATTCTGTGTATTATTAGTTTATTATTCGTCTATTTATCTCTGCGACCGTTATTCGTTTTTTGTCCTGTGACATTTCCAAAATCCTTACGTAATCCCCTCCGAATTTAGCCATTGTCCGACTCACACCTTCACCATCATCTCAATACAATTAAGGATTCCCAATTAAAACATACATGAATTTTGATTATTTTAATCACCAACCGAAAACCCGTATGCCACGCCTTGCATTTATTCCATAAGTTTTTGTGGTCGCGAAATTCCGTTCTTATTGTCATCTTACGTGTCCAATCCACATTGGAAGCCCAAAGAAAACAAACAAACAAACAACAACTTAAAAAAAATAACTAGTTTATTATCGTATAGTCAGAAGATAAAGTATTAACAACAGAGAAAGAATAATAATAGAAGGCAGTGTACATAAAAACAACGACAAGATAATAAAAAATTAAGTACCTTAATTACAATGGACACTAACTTCATTTCATTAACCTAAATTGGTAACATCTTGCCTTTATAAAAATACAGTTGGTAGTGTTAAACACGCACGCAGACACACCCGCTTTCGTACACTCAGTACCATAAATAACACCGAACTGGTAATATACAGGGTGTACTATCCTAAAAACAGCCCCGCGGCATATATACAATTGAGCATCGAATTCCATAAATAACTTGTCCCACAGCTACAACCTCCAGCCTTGAAAATCCTCAATCCTTAAATAAAATCACAACCTTAGTTTTTACAGTACCGATCACTTAGCTACGAAGACTGAAAGATCGGGGAATTTGAAGCCGCCGAAGCCCGGGAAGCTCCTACTGGGGATCCGCGGCGGCTTCCCCAGCTGCCGCGACCGCAGGTGACGTGCCGGGGGCGGCGTCAGATCCGTAGTGAGCCCCGGCTGGGGACCCTCGTTGCGCAGGAGGAACCCGCACTGCGCCGAACACACGTCATCGCGCAGAACCACCTCCTTGGGCCACTCGCGCAGCAGCTGGGAGCAGTCGGTGACACGCAGCGACGCGCACTGACCCTGCAAACCAAACAAAAAAAAAAAAAAAAATAGTAAAACTGGCTCCCAAATTGAGTCAATCAAAGACGTACCCCTTCCTGGGTGCAAATGCAGCTGGTGCACGGCGACGGGAACGCCGACTCACCCACTTCCACGTGCCTGTCCCCGATCACGCATCCCGATCCCGCCGACTCTCTCCACGCCCCCAGGTCAATCTGGGGTAGTGACTGGCACGGGACTCTCGGGTTCAAGAAGTTGCTCGGTAGATCGAACGCCGCCCTCTGCATATCCCCGTGCACGTCCAGGTTGTCGCAAATGACCTTCGCCAGCGTGATCTTCCTGATCTCGGCTAGTTGCGACTCGGTGAACTTCACCACCGGGTCGTTGTTCTCGTACCAGAAGCGGTCGCACTTGCGCAGCTGGCGGAACTGGATGGCGATGATGCAAGCGAAGGTGGGTCCTACGAGACCTCCTTGCAGCGGCCGCTCGCTCAGCCCGCCCGGGAACAAGTCGATGTCGTCCACTGTGGCGTAGATGCGCTTGAAGCGCGAGATCACCTCTGGAGGGATCTCTCTGGCGAGGTCGTCAAACGACGTGGCGCGCTTGAGGTTGCAGAGGGCGCGGTAGTTGTTGTAGGAGGGGATGCCGTGGTCGCGGCCGCGCTGGATGTTGAGGGCGATGAGGTCCACGCCGGAGAAGGGGATCTTGCGGTCTTCGAAGAGGTGGTTGGTGACTTCGCCGGTGATGAACTGGTCGAGAGTTTCCATGGGGGTGGAGACGAGCCCGCGGGCGATTTCGTCGACCATGCCGTGCTGCAACGACAAGAAATAGCGTGAAGCTGATTTACTAAATAGTAAAGAGTGGTACCTGTAGCAACATGTCGGGTTTGAAGAAGCCGTCCCGGAGAAGAATAGGTGGATCGATGATTTGGTACTGCGGACTGAGTCGAGGTATATGCGGTCTTAGTAAAGAGTGCCCGATTCTGAAAGCCGCTGAAGCAAACTCGGTGAGGATTGAAGGGTTACAACTCGGGTTGTAGTCTTTGTAGTGTCCCTGGGGTAGCAATTTCAACCCGTACAAGTTCATGGCGTTCCAACTGAGCAACCTTGGCAAGAATTCATTGTATGTGATGTGTTGGGTTATGGCAATTGTGATTCGTCTGGCTTGTTCGAAGAGCTTGTCGTCGTCCCAGTGAGGGTTTATACCTTTCAAACCTCCAACTATCTTATTGTGCTCTCTCATGAACACAGTGTGAATGACGGTTAATCCCGGCTGCTCTGATGCTCTTCCATCACCCGCAATGAAGCACAATCCAGACGCTGCTTTACATTCAGGATGGTTGTCACTCTGTGGTAGCAAATCTTTGAGTTTGAGGGGGCGCTGAGTGCAGTTCATTCGTCCCCCAATCCCTTTCAAGCTTTTCAAAACGCACGGATTCTCTCCGTAGATTTGCGACGCGTCCAAGAAGGCGGTATTCTGATTGACTTGTTCCCGAGGACCCAAATGCAGCTGCCCAGGGAGAGACCTCATGAACGGGAAACACATGCGCTGTCCAGACGTGATGTTGATTTCAGGGTAGTAGTGGTCAGACGGTGGAATCGGAAAAGGGGCACACTCTGGGTGCACCGTATGGGGGCTATCGCACGACCTGCAGTCCGGAATAGACTCATGGAAACCCTTATGAATGGGAGTCATCGTGAGATCGTGGTCCAAGAACTGACCGTACTGCATCGTCATGAGGGTGTACCGCGAGTGGAGGTTACTAATATCGGGATGAATCACCGTGGAGACGATACGTGGCGACGGCAACGGGGTCCCAGTAGCCCCAAGAAAACGAGGCTTGGAAATCCCTACCACAACCAAAAAACTTACAAAAATCGTCAACCTAGAACGAAAAAACCTACCGTCATCATAAGCACTAGGTAACAACCTAGTGAAAGTCGTCAAGCTTTTCCCCCATCCGGGATTCCTCAAGTTATTACAGTGCCCCGACATGCTCCTATACGGCGTGTTGGGATCGCAAGGAGCGTTTTCCTCACAGTGGTGGTCCAAATCAATCGCACTAGCCGGAACCAACGAAGAAATATCCACGTTCTGTAACCCATCGGACAACTCGTCCCTGAAAACCGAAGAAATCACGTCGTTGTCGAAGATCTGGCGCTTGCGACGTCTGTGCATCAGCGAGTTGATGATCTCGTTGGAGGCGAACTCGAAGAACAGCGACGTGTTGGCAAGCTTGAGGGCTTGTTTGTTGGGTTTGCTGAAGGAGGCGGCGGTACCGGCGGGCGATTTCGGGTCAATACCGCCAACCGTGGACCAAAGCTCGTACTCGGTCTTTCTTCGTTGGAGGACGTCTTGCTCGGCTTTGGTGATGGCCTCCATGAGCAAGTCTTCGGACAAGTCGGCCATGTGGTCCATCTCCAACCACGCGGTGAGCTGCGGCAGCGGGTGCTGGTCGCACGAAATCCGCGCATTCCTGCACCACGTCATTAGTACCACCAAAACAACAACACAAGAAAGGGGTACTTACAAATACGGGTCTTCTTGGACGAACGCTTTGGGCTGAATCTTGTCCAAGTAGTCAGTATTGGCACACAAAAGTCCAGCTAGAGTCGTCTTTTTGATCTCGCTTAACTGTTCAGTGGTGAGGGAGCTCGGAGGCAAGTCGTTTTCGTACCAAAACCGATCAGACTCCTTCAGAAGCACGAACTGTTCTCGAAGAAGACACCCAAGAGTCGCTCCCACTATGGCCCCCGGGATGGGTTTTTCTAGCATCGCGCCCACCAAAAGGTCCACGTCTTGCGGGACTTGGTAGAGGTACTTCAGCGCTTTGATGAGTTCGGGTTTGATTCCAACTTTGGTGAAGTCGTCGAAAGTGGAGAGGGTTGCGTTCTGACACTGTTGCAAGTACCGGGTGTAGGACGCAATTCCGTGGTCGCGACCCATGTGGACGAAAAGCGACGCCGTGTCCCAGTCGGATCGCAGCGGTACCATCATGTGCATACTAGGGTTCTGGGCGGGGGTGCGTATGAGCACGTCCACCATTTCGGCAAAGTTTTCAACGGTTTGATTCATCTGGAATATCGCGATCGTGAAAAGGAGTCGGGTGGGTGGGCGGGTTTTACTAACCAAACTGCCGGGAATCATCGAGAGGAGAGCAGGTAGGGCACTCATTGCCACTTCGTTGTAAACGCCGGCTTTGTGCGAGCTCGAGTACTTCGAGAAACGTCCATGGGTTTGCAGGTGGAGGTCGGATTGGACGATGGCTTCCTGCAGGAGTGATTGGTCGCGTGATTTTAACGACTTACGGGTCAGTACTTACGTTGCCTAGGACTATGGGCAAAAATTCGTTGTACGTGATGTGTTGGATGGTGGCAGTGACTATTCGTTTGCTCTCTAGGAAGAGGGCGTCGTCGGACCAGTGGCGATTTAGTTGGGCCAGGTTTACGGCAACGCGGTTGTGTTCTTTGAGGATTGCCGAATAGAGGGCGTTCGATTTGCAAGGTGCGCAAGATGAGACGTTGACTAGACCAGCGTCGTAGGTTCGAAGAGTCTGGACTTGTTTATCAGTGTTGCCGTAGACGGCTGAAGCGTCTAGGAACGCTGAAGCCAGGTTCATTTGGTTGCGGTATTCTGAAATGGGTCCAAATAAAACAAAGTCGTGGGTCAAGCTTTATTCAATTAAAATACAGACAGGATGGAACAATGTCTCGACTCGGGTCTGAATCTCTGTGTTCCGGCTATTTACCCATGGGCGTCTCCTGCCCAAGTGGGCCATGGCAACATTTAAAGCCCGCTCGGTTTGCCCGCTCAAACAATAGACAATCATCCCAAGCACACTTGCACTTTCATGGCCAAGTCACTCACACGTGCTCTTACAACCGTTCTAATGTCTATATTTGTCCGTCGCCATCTGCGTTTCTAGTTTCTCCTGGTTGCAAAACTCACCGAAGCCGCAATCGTCCATGTCCACCGCCGGCAGCGTCCGCATGTACTCCCGACATTGCCCGTGTCCCACCCGTCCATAGCACTCCCCGTGGCTCATCCCGTCGTCGCTGCAGCAATCCTGGCTCCTCAGGTTGCCCGTGCTGGCTAGATCGTGCAATAGCAACTCGCCCCAGGCCCCCAGCAAGGCGGTGACGGACTCGTGCGGGGCCGCCGGGACGGTCTGCAGAGTGGCGGCCGCCTCCAGAGGGCTGGGAAGGGCGTGGGCCGTCACGGACTGGCGCGGCCGGCTTTTACCTGAAACAACACTCAAATTGGAAAATCGGCTGCGGCGTTTCGGGGTCAAAAGTCAGCTTATGTCAAACCGGAAACGCTAATAATTTCACTGGTGTGAAAGTACGCATCGCGACGACTTTCTCCGGGCCGGTCCTGGCTCGCCCTACGCGATTACTCAACGAGTTAGGTAACTGGGACCCACCGTCGGCGTAGGCTGGGGGCAGCAGGCGCAGGAACGGGGAGCCGCGGTTGCCCCAGCGGGCGTGGCGGACGTTGTTGCACTCGCCGGTGGGCCGGCGGTACTTGTTGGGAGGGCAGGGAGTGGCGTCGGGGGGGCTGCATGGTGGTTGTCGGTGGTCGGGCTGGGCGGCCTGGCGTTCTGTTTGGAGTGCGGTCCTGACGATGTCCCGGAGCTCCGGGGGTAGAGTCCTGGTGTACGCGGTTATGTTGTAGTCGTACGGATGGAGGCCGGTGTGACCTCGGATGAAGACCGGGAGGAGAGATAGCAGTGTTAACCTGAAACGAGAGACAAAGAGGTGATTGATGAGGAGACACCTGGGACTGGAAGTGAGTCAGTGGGACACAGTAATCCGGGATCCTCAAATTTTTACCGAGACGACGTGTCGCAGTACCCAGTCGTGAGCGTGTTTCGTAACCCAGCGTGCTGACGCTTGAGGGTCACGATTATGAAAAATGATGCTCTGGCAGCTGGATATTGACGGTTATTACGCCGCTACAAGACAGTTATTGTTAAAACGGTGTCATTTATTGTAATCAAATCATCGCTAACAACATAATTGTTCCGAGCAATTACTCAGAAATTCGTGACTGTGTCTTTGATCTTTGATAAATCGACATCCGTTTTGGGTTGCGCTTCTTAATCATGCAAATTGCAGGACTTTGTTTTTCTCGATCCTCAAGGCCCCTGGCCCGGACCTTTCCTGGTACCTAATCGTTCGCGCGAGGCGCTTCTTTCGGGTGTTTTCTGAGAAGAGGCAATTAACCTTTATGCGGGGGCAACGGTCTGCATACCTTCAATTAACTTTACAGTTTATTAGGCATCGAGGTAATGCTGCTGACGATAACAATGATAAATATGTGACATAAAAGATGGCTCGCCTTCACCTGACAGATGTTTTTGCCTAATTACACCGTTTTTGTAACCTCCACAATCGGGTCGAGATGGATGTTGTAAACGAGTAAATAAGAAGATAATTAGAATAGGGCGAGGATCGAGCTAGTGAAAGTGCACTGTCATCAAAAGTTTGACGGATGAGGGGCAAATGTCACGTACTTGTCCTTGGAAGAAGACACGAAATGTCAAGAGTAGGCCCGAAAACGAAAGTCGGAAAATGACAGATGGTGGTACCACCATCCCTCGCCAGGAAATTGAGCAACCGGTGACAATTTTCAGGTTGGCAATACTCACACATCGACGGCATTCCACCGAAGTTAAAATATTTATCTAGATTAAATGTTTGCGCTGATATTTAAAGCGAAATTATTAATAAAATTAACGATATGCTAATAATTATTGTTGGCAATTACCAATGTATTTCAAGGTGAAGAAGAAATATTTGTGGTGGAAAGACTGAGGAAACTTGTTGTTTTTTCGGACTTTGGAAGGTTAACCGCTTTCTTTCATTTTCCAGTCGCTCGTTCGTTATGTCACCAATGCTACAGTTATTCGCGGAATGTTAAACTCCCTAGGAAGTACCAAGTCTTTGTTCGAAGGCTTGAGCACTCTCACGAGCTGTCAAGACCTCCGCGACCTTAACCCTCGCATTCTGTCAATACCGTACTCATAGATTTTTTCCATCTGCTTTTTTTTGGATTTGAATGAAGAATGACATCAAGGGTACGGTATTCGCACACTCCTTAAACTCGTAATTTATAATTCCTCGGTACTTAATCTTACAAAAAATCGATAATTTATGCAAATGCGTCGCTCGAAAACGTTAAGGTTCAGAGTTGGCTGTGGTCATTTTTTCGTCGCGTTGCTCAACCCTTTCGTGCCGTGTCGCCATCGTTGGAGCTGCAATCACGTACGTCTAATCTTTATTTAATAGCGAGATCCGCGTTTTTTGTCTTTTTTTCACGTCCTCTCTACGATTTAAGCGTTTCTAAGAATGATCATCGTCGTTTTATTAAGTCACGATGATATTGTACGTTGACCTTTCGTTTTCAAATGCTGAATGGTGATTCGTACGGGAGCTGGGTCACGTGTCGCAAGTTGCAATATGTGTAAATTGCAATAATTGTTACATAACTTGCGATACAGTGGTTGCGTTTGATGTTAGATTAATTTTAACGAATTTGTGGATAATGCAACGTTAAAAGTTGTTGGCGAGGACTTTCACTGCTGTTTTATGATGGGTTTCAAGTTCTTGTAATTGAGATTTTGAGTTTTTCGATTCATGAAGTAGCGAACTTTCGCTGGGTGGTAGGTGGAAAGTTGTAAATGAAGGTACGACGAAAACTTGGAATTTTTGAGGTTTTATTAAAAAAAAGAAACGTTTCTTGTTGGATCTGGTATGGAGTGGATTCACATTCACTCATTCATCAGATTTGAATAGAATTAGTCTTGACAAACCTCGATACCTTCACTCTTTTCGAGATTAAATCTAATCTCTTTCGAATTCAATGGCTCGAAACGGTTCCATTTTCGATTTTTTTAAGGTTGGTGTTTAAAATTCGTGTATACTAGAAGCAGATGGTCAATAAACATCCACAAGTCATCCTAGCAAGTAGCGGAATTTGTTCAAAATTTCTAAGGTTAAATTTAAAAAAATATATTTCGGCTACAAATTAAAATTTCATTAAGGTAAATGACGTTTTCGTACATTCGAACAATTTAAAAGTCATTTATTTATTAATCGATTTTATTACATATCGTAGTTCAAGTAAAGACAATGTATTTCAGTGGGTATTTTAACTTCAGTTTTAACATTTTTAGGTCAAATTTAAACTATAATGGTTTCGTCTATTACAGTAAATTTACACAAATTAGAGAACCTTGGCAAGTTAACAAATAAACGTTAATTCAACTTTCAACACTGTTGTCCGTTTCAACACAGATCATACAAAAACTATGACATTTAAAGATTTTGAGGTTTTGCTTTAAAATTCATGTTACTGAGTTAAACCTTAAAACTTTATTTTATTTAATTTATGAAGCGTAGAATGAAATTATTAATGCGACCTTCGTCACTGATATTAAACAAAAGGCATACTGTCAATATTCAAGGTTTGAACTTTAACGGATTTAATAAATCGGGTGGCATCTCATTGCAACTTAATTAATTCGAGTGCCTACTTGAATCCAAAATAAATGAAGCTTGAAATAAAGAAAACAAAATATCTTATATAACCGACCACAACAAGCAAAATTAGCGTGTGTGGAGTGGATTCTTCACAATATTCAATGACTGTGTACAATATTTAAGGTTCTAATTTAAATTAAAGTTGGCATATTATGAAAGACTCGGATAAAAATATTCAAGGGCGAAGCTCGCAATAAATCACTTTTTTAAGGTTAAGATTTATATTTTTTAAAATTTGAATAAGCTCTTTCATTGTTTGTCTGCCACGGCGTGATTTACTGAACGAAATAAAGAACGATTTTGCGTAATCTAACTACAAGGTTCAGTTTCAAACTATCTTTTACTTTTAAGGTTGAACTTCAAAATTGCGTTTATCGCCCATCTACAAAAAAACCAATCAAACCCCACACCCAGCATTACCATTGAATAGAAAACTCGATCGAATTCCACTCGTTAACCAGACATCAATTACGCCAAATACGGTCGAACAATGTTGATTTATGGAGCTAGGGCAAGGTAATAATTACATCAAAACTTTCTAGGAAACGCGTTGAATGGAAAGCATCGGGCAGTGCCGCGACGAATTTTCGATAATATTATGCGATATGCCGCACAATTTCTATATGGACCGGTCTTCTTTGAATTTATTTACGTTTTATTTGTTTATTTTTTATTACCAAAACATAACTTTCTCCGAGGATTACTTTCATTCGGCATTCCTACTAATTTAGTCTTCGTTCAATGTGACACGTGACTTTGACTTTGCCGTCCAATTTCTAATTATTAGAATGGACGATCGAGTTTCGTAACGCGGTACAGTAGTGGACAGAATGAATGACGCTGAGTGCGCGACGGGACGAAATTGATTACTATCAAACGTCAAAGCAGAGGCGTCCGGCAAGGTAAACAAGTGAAACTCAATTTAGAGCAGTAAAATCGTCATTAGTTCACGAATTCGCATTTCTAAAAACAAACAACGACCACGTGACTCTTACAATTAAAGCCTGGGCGATAATTACTTTCTTTGAAACAATACGACTTTCACAATTGATTTCCGAACGCTCTAACAAGCCCCAGAGAATAGAGGAGTTGCATAAGAGTTGCATAAAATGCATCAAATTAATTTTACAGCGTCTCCGAGAAAGTGATTTTTCGATTACCCATTTCGTTGTTTACAATTTCTTTTGTCGCTTTTTATTTGCAGTTGGCGGAAGTGAAGTAGAAAGCGTTTTCGTGACCTTGGAGTGGCGCGGATTCATATACGAAATAACGAACAAGCAGTTCAGATCGGGACAAGTCAGATCAGAATTAGCAACAAAAACGAGAATGACGTCACAGCTCCGCCAACTGCTCAAGGAGAAGATTCCAATCGATTTTTTGCCATCAAGCGGGGCCACCGCGCCTCACCTTATCTTCATTTGATCGTCTTGTTTGGGTCCAGAGCCGCCACGAAACCAAAAAAACTCTAACGCTTCCGCGTTCCCGTTTTAATTAGAACCAAACTCGATTTCACTGGTATCTCAGCGAAAGTCTCAAAATCGATTGTGCATGAGACAATGCTCAAGGTGACAAATCCGTTACTCTGGCGTTTTTCGAAACGTGTCATGACCGAGTAATCCACATACTCTGATCCTATGATCTCATCGTTATAAAAGAGCCGTTCGAGGCGATGACGGTAGAAAGTGGTGCCGCGAGGGGTACTTGGTTCGCATAAAGCCCGCGGTTTTCGCGTCGGTGTTAATAGTGGCCGCGGTTCTCAGAACTTGGCTTATTTTTCGATTAATTATCGCCGTTTTCGCAAACATGTTTTCAAGTGCTCAAGGTTATGCAAATCGATCTGGAAATTGTACGTTAAGAGAGCACATTCCGGCTGGGAGATGGGTCCTGGCCTTGGGTAAATGTCAATGTTTCTGGGCGGAAGTTGAAGGTTTGAGTGCAGCGAGACGTCGAGTTTTGGATCTTCGTTTTTTTTAATTAATTGTGATTTCGCATGTTTTGAAAATTTTAGCAGTTTAGCGTGGTTTCACGGCCGGTCCGGTCCAAGGCTAAATACTTATCAGAGTATACAAGAAAAACATATAATTAATTTTTTTACAACTATAGCGTCAGTCTTATAACTATTAGCATGAATAACAGAAGATGTTAAGATAATTAAAAAAAATTGTCAAAAATTTACCTCACGAATTAATAACA